AGGACAGAAAGTGGCACCTGCTAAGGATAGACTAGTAAGACAAGCGAAGTTGAGAACAAAAAAATATTAGTAAGAGACATTCGAAAACTGTTTTCTTGAGACTGTAGGTGGTAGATAATTACTCGAATCCCTAGATGTACTGGTGTACGTCTTAATGATCACGTAATTGATAGTATTCTGAATGGTTGTTTTTGACTGTTGTTAACTGCATGCGATGCATATTCTCCAGAATAATACTGCTAATTTATCCGCCTGTAAAAAGAAGCACTGTTCTTTCGGTCGAGAGTGTTACAGAACAGCTAAAAATATTTGATCGACTAAGAATTGTTGTATTGAATATTAATAATTCCACCGTGTTTTGGATGCATTTGTTTTACTTTGGTTTCACTCTGTTTTCGGTTTGGCATTTGGGAAGTTTTGCTCCGGAAACCTAAATATGGAAGGTTTGTTGTGTAATTGTTACGATTACTATTAGAACAATAAATACGTTCGGGTTAATTACTTGTAATTTATGAATAAACTTTGGTGCCTGAATTGGAATTTGGTTGTATTGCTATTTAGGGTCGTGCTGTGTTTCATTAACTGACGAGAGCAATATCTGGGCGCAATAATACTTAGTAACGTTTCTTTTAGCTGGTCTCTAGATAGCTACTGTAATGAACTTCTTTAAGCAAGAATTTCTATCAGTATGAATTGGGGCGTACGTTGGAGCCATGCGTTCTGGATATGTATTACGGATGTTATGTTACGACAGTCTGTTCGAAGATGAGAGATGAGACACGATGAACTTTGTATCGTTTAGTTTTTTTTGTTGGGGTCGATTTTAATGATCATTGTTGCAATGTATTTTTGAAGTTGTTCTGAGTGTAGTTAATAGTAGTTTACATCAGTTTTCTCAAGAAAATTCAGGTATAAGAACTAAACAGTGGTATCGTTTGTGAGTAGTATGGTATTGAAACGTATTATTAAGCGGCACATAGTTAATCTCAATCATGTTCTTCCTTAGTCTTCTGTGCTGCACAGGTTCCTAGTTCACAATGTTGAAGTTTATTCCCTAATAACAATGCACTCGAGTTCTCTTCTTTCAAGTTGTCGCAGAATACCGAAATAATTATTGAAATAATGAAATGTGATTGAAGGGGTTTTTCTGGATTAGTTTTTAGCTAAGCACTGAAAACAGTTTTTTACATTAGGGTGGTTGGTATTCTCAAAGTTTTAAATGGCAGTACCACGACACGGTATGTTTTATTATTTACAGAGTATTCAGAGGAATAATTATCTAAAATGTCGCATGTAGACAATAGGTCCCACTAAGGAAACATGTAATAGTGGAATCATCCAGAAGCCACAAGGCATATGTACTACTGCTGTTCATTACTACCATATTACGCTTATTAAAGTTCATTAGTAATGTTTTTAGTGGCTTACACATTTCCAACACCTGAACCCCTTAAAGGGGTAAAAGTATTTGATAAACTTTTCCGCTCAACAGTGCAAGGCCATTTATACACAGAAGTGTATGAGAATTAAAGCTGTTTCATAGATCAGCAATAAACAGTTATAAAGGAAGTGACCTGGGGGTAAAACGTCCTAGCGCCCTCCTTAAAATTATAGACCAGTCAAACAACGTGGAACAAACCATGACATTTCGTGATCTCACTACTGGATAGTCATACAGCCAGTTGACGAAACGCACACTAACATTCACTAGTTTCAGCAGCGGATTCACTAAATGATTAGGAAAACTCTAGGGAACCCAAGTGGACAGAATGGTTATACTTCTTTAAATGTATACAGCGGTCCAAGATGTTTACGTGATTGAACTGCACGCTCACCCAGTGAGCACCACAAGTTTGGGCATGACAAATAGAGTTTTTGATTAGATGAATTTTGAAGTGACTTCCTCGTCCCCATTTGAAATTGTAGATAGGAAGGTAACTGGCAGATCTGAATCGGCACATCTAGAAATTCGCAGTCAGAAGACAGCATGCCTATAATACAACACTTGTATAAAGCAGCAAGAGGAAGGAAGTGGATCTGAGTATTTATTTGGGACTGCGTTGGATTCTATCTAAGTTAGTAGTTTAATATGGGTTCAGAGACCTCAGGATTTCTTTATTTCTTCTGGAGGGGGGCTAAATTACTTATGAGATAGGCTGAGAAGGCTGAATGAATGAACACAGTTAAGAATAATTGACTTCAAAAGCGATTGAAGGTAATCTAGCAATCCCATTATGGGTGCTATGGCCCTCTAAATAATCCTAATCTATCATAAGTAATGAGAGGTATATGTTTTCTGTAAATAATGAGTATTCTCTTAGGAACACTGACATATGTCATATGTCTACGTTTTCAGGGCATTCGGTGATTTTCCTGCTCACCATCACTCGAGAATTTTATATTGAGTCTGACGGCCTTTTGTAAACTCCTGAAAGAAGAAGACCAATACTCATGTCAGGAGCTAGGCGTCTCTGTTTTAAATTATTCACTACTTCCATAACACATCTACCGACCATACGAACACTATGTAGAAAATAGCCTAGTACTGATTACGGCATAAAGACGAACATATAAAAAATACTATTACCGGATTAACACGACTGTTTCGACATAGATGAATAGTGGATTGCATATAAAACATAGTCAGACTAATTAACTTACCCCCTTTGCTGGTTTCAGACTTTCTGCTGGTCAGTACAACGTTATTGGAACTGTACAACCTGGAACATAAAGCAACTTTACACTGGTGTATAAGTTTGGATATCCTATCGAGAAATACTTGATGAATGCATCCTTAACACTAAAGGAGATAGAATAAACAGGGTCTTTCGAACATATCTATGGGAAAAACCAGGTTGTAGGGAGTAGATGAAATTACAGACCAGCGAATTCCAAAATAATAAATAACAATCATGAATTGTTCGAGTGCATGTTCAGAATCTTAAGCTTGGAGAACAGGCTGTCCTAATATCTATAAAGACAGATTTCGTGAAAGAAAATTTCACACTTCTCTCACATCATTCGAACTTGAACCTTGTTAAGAATATTTGTGTTTATGAAATAACTGAGGATCATATTTGCTGGTATTCTGGTATATGTTGAAGCACATGGCTCTAAAGAAATTTTTAGTCGCTTGCTTATTATTACTTAGTTACTTTAGCCTGTTGCTCCCTATGGAGTGTAGGCTACCAGCCAGCATTCTCCAACACACACTGTCCTGGGCCTTCCTTTCTAGTTCTATCCAATTTTTGTTCATTCTTCTCATGTCTGTCTCCATTTCCTGGAGTAATGTGTTCTTTCGTCTTCCTCTTTTCCTTTGGCCTTCAGGATTCCAATTGAGGGAATGCCTTCTGATGCGGTTGAGTGTTTTCCTCAATGTGTGTCCTATCCACTTCCAACGCTTCTTTCTGATTTCTTCCTCCAATGGGTCTGGCTTGTTCTCTCCCACAGTAGGTTGTCGCTAATAGTGTCTGGTCAACGGATCCAAAGTATTTTACCTAAACACCTGTATCTTCTGGTTGGTGGCTTTTGTAGTTCTCTAGGTTTCCACCCCATATAGTAGAACTGCCTTGAAAATTCTGAGATTGGTGTTGGTTGACAGTTGTTTTGGGTTCCAGATGTTCTTCGGTTGTAGATATGCTGCTCTTGCCTTGCCGATCCGCGCCTTCACATCTGCATTAGACCCACCGTGCGCATCAGTGGTGCTGCTCAGATATGTAAAGGTCTTTACATCCTCTAAACTTTCTCCGTCAAGTGTGATTTGATTGGTGCACGTTGTGTTCTATCGGAGAATCTTGCTTTTCCCCCAGATGTTGACACCTTCATGATCCAGTCGATCGTCAGGAGAAAGAGGAAGAGTGAGAGTAAGCAACCTTGCCTGACACCGGCCTTTACTTCGAACGAGTTTGTCAGCCGTTTAATCCATCATAGGAATTCCGTATGATGTTGACTATCCTCTCAGGCTCTCAGTAGTGTCAAGGAAGCCTCCATAGTGTTGTCCTGTCTACGCTCTCAAATTCTTTCTCATAGTCAATGAAGAGTGATGGATTCCATTCAATTGATTTTCCCACAATGATCCGTAGAGTTGCGATTTGGTCTGCACACGACCGATCCGTACGGAATCCAGCCTGTTAGTCTCGAAGTTGGACTTCTACGGAATATTTCATTCTATCTTGCAACACACTGTTGGAGAATTTACCCAACATTGAGAGAAGAGCGACGCCTCTGTAGTTCTAACATTTGCTGAGATCGCCTTTCTTTTGTATCTTGATCAGGTCTCCTTCTTTCTAGTCTGTTGATACTTGTTCTTCATCCCAATTCTTGCTGAAAATAATGTTGAGTGTCTTTGCCGTTACTGCCACGTCTGCTTTCAGTGCATATGCTGGAATGTTGACTGGTCCCGCTGCTTTGCCGCTCTTGATTTGTCCGATGGCCATGCTGATCTCTTCAATTGTTGGTGGGTCAGTAGGTGCTACTTCGATGTTGGGTGTGTTCAACGGGGCTGATCAATTCATGAGTTCCTTGAAGTGCTCTACCCACCTGTTTTATTGTTCTTCAATTCTGGTGATTACATTGATTCCCTTGCTTTTCACTGGTCGTTTCGGTTTACGATAATTTCCAGTGAGCTTCTTTGTCGCATCATACGATTATCTCATGTTTCCTTCTTTTGCAGCTTTTTCCACCGTCATCGCTAGATCTTCTACGTATTTAAGTTTGTCGGTTCTGATGTTCCTCTTTACTTGTTTGCTTCTGTGTATTCAGCTTGCTTCTGATACATGAGGATTAAAGCAACCAAGGTCACAGGTTTGTTAGCGGGTATTTTGTGTGCTCAGTTTCATTTTTATTCTGTATGCTGCTTCGAGAAGTTGCTATTCTTTGTTTGTGTGATGGAGGAGTAATTTAACCTCTATTTAACTTAGGTATGACGTTTCTCAAGCTTATTTAATTTCTGGCGACTTGCTTTCTCAAACATATTGTGTTTTGTGCTTTAAAATCAACTAGTTTGGTTTTCACTAGTGTTTGGCTTATTCGGAGTCGATTTTAAATCAGTGAGGATTAATTAAACATATTTTTTGTAAGGTGGGCTGACTTTTATTCAATGGTGGTAACAAGGCTAGGGTCGACATTAGAGTGAAAGTTATATATGCCCAAGCTTCCAATTTTGGGGAAAATTTGGCACATTTTGGGGAAGCCGCTATAGTAAATTTTGGGGAAATGGCACAGAAAACCCAAAATTGGAAGCTCGCGTGGACTCACCGACAGCCGGCTCTATTTATCCTCAGTATTTAAAAGTAAGGATGGGATCTCAAACTATGTGTTAATCTTCGTGGTTCATAATGTTAGGAAGGTCTAGTCTGGTTTTGGATATACCTGTAGGTGGTGCTAATACTTCGTTTTCCTTTTTAGAATTCGAATAATTTACTACCCGGCACAAGAAGCAAAACTCTATATGCGTATAATTTGATCTCGGTTTTGAGATCCATTTCCAATTTCCAGCTCTAGATGAAAGGAAAGGATTTAATAATATAATCAAGTATTTAAAAAGGGGCTTGGTCAACAGATGTGTTGTTAACTAGCCTTACTTTTGCTCGTTTGCGGCATCAAAGTCATATTTGCCCAACTTTTACATAAATTGTTTCAGTTAAAGTTCATGTTCCTTAAATCAAACTCGTTTCTGTGGTTTGCCTTATCTGCCTGTTCTTTATACCTGCTAGGTTGTGTGTTTTTGTCGTTCTTCGTATGCGCTTACTAGATTTCATGATTTTGCTGCCTAGTTCTAATTTTTTATGTGAGGATTAAATTTATATGTAAGTCTTGTCTGCAATGGTCGGCCGTACTTATCAGTGTAGATTCCTTCTTCCCTGTTAAGAAAGGAATGCAATATAATGGATTTAGTGAATAGTTATGCCTGCTTTGACGTAGGTCGCCGGGTAGTATTCCAGCCCTCACACAAATCGAGTGACAAAGCGTGAGGCATACATATTTGATGCCTCCTTATACCAATGTCTATGTTTAGATAAATAAATAAAGTAAACAAATAGTTATGCAAGATGTCTTTCCGTTTTACACTCACTACATATGAGTGGTGTTAGAAGCCTTACTCTCATTGGCTTCGCCGTTAGGGTGGGACGTCACTGATCCAGGAGGTGATCGCTCTTGCGTTAGTGAAAAAGAAAGTCGACCGTAGTGGTACTGGAGATTCGGGTATCGACAATAGAGAGTATATTGGTCATAAGTACAACTACTGGAAGAGCTAAACACAACTGGAAAACGTGAAAAGGCGAGAAGTCATTAGCAAAGTACTCAAAGAGTGGAATTCCGGATGGTGGACCACTTATTCGTGAAGTTGATTCTAAAGTCATTTTATCCAAAGACCAAAATAGAACTGTCGCCAGTTCAAAATGTCATGATATAAAATTCTCATATGAGGGTGAACGGAAATCGGTACGAAGTTAGAGCAGAAAAAAGCCATCCTCACCACCGGATTACCCCCTCTGGTTGGTAAGATGTCTTTAGGCAGCTCCCATTTTGAGTAACTTAAGGAATAATGGGTGCTTTCATTAGTTTGATTTATTTTTGTTAGTAATGAGAGTTAGTGGTTAGTTAAGTATCTCTAGACTCCATTATTTTACTGATTGGACATAGTATTTGGAACACAACCATTCTATTGTTTGCTTCTGTTTCATTTTAAACTTCTTTCTGAAGACTAAGTTTAAAAGATACAAAAGTTTATAAACATCTCTACACATCCTTTCCACTTCATTAAATATTTCGTAGATTGTGAAACTATGTGAGATTATCACAGTGATTAAACACTTGCTCCCCGAAGTGATACGTTTTATTAAACCACGCTGTGTTGATGTAACCAAATACTTTTTTCATTAGTGTTGCCATTCAAGTTTCTTACTTTTGTCAGTTTCAGTCTTGGATTAAGGAGCTGTTGTCCTTTGATAGATAGACCAGTAAAGTTGTTCGCAGAAGTGCTCTAATTAGTCTCTTAATTTTTAGGTTTGAATTTTACATATCCGCCTGTCTGGATCTAATCCTGTCGCATACTAACGCGTTTTTAACCAGTTTTAACTTCTTATACTATCCAAGTCAATTATGAGCTCGTATTCGTCTCCGCGAACCGTTAATGATGCAGACAGTGATATGGACTTTTCCATTTATTCGCCTAGTAGCGAGTTTGATTTGGATTTCACGTTCAGATCTTTAAAGAAAGGAGCTTATAATAAGGAGGAAGATTTAAATCGTAAGTCAAAATGATAGCTAGGTCTTCTTATTGGGAAGTTGGAGTTTCTTGCATTTTTAACACTGGTAAATATTTCAGACATTATAGTTAATATCTTATTTAAATAATAGCTTTTTGTTCACTTTGTAAGATTCAAGTTTATCACTTGTTAACCGTCAGTGGAGGCTTATGCACTACTTAATACTTTCCCGTTGAATAATTACAGGGCAGTTAAAGCTTAACAGCAAGGCTTTAGGAAGATTGACTCCAGGTCATTTCAATCGTCATCTTCAGCCACCTCACTTCCTTCCAGTGTGGATGCAATTTCCTATTCTCTGTATTTAAATTTTTCCGATTTACTACACAGTATCTTAGTTTCAAAGATTATGAATATTGTCTCTCGCTTATATTTGCTTAATAACAATTTAAATAAAGACAGGATTTCGTTAAATAGCTGTTCATGCTAAGAAGAACTACCATGGATTACGATGCGTTTTGACAGCATAAGATAAATCATGCAAAATGTAAATTTGTAACTGCTTCAGTTGGAATTAACCTGAAGAGACGCGAATATTTAAATATTCTTGTGTCACTATGATTTATCATACGCTATATCATCAACCATTGGTAACTAACTTTTCGATATGCAGATTTCTCCTTTGTTAATATTAACTGTTGCTGATTTCATGAGTCTGTATACCTTTAGTTAGGTCAGCTTTAACTTTCCGCGTTTGCTAACACCACTGTCCGAAACAGAAGAATGGCAGAGATACGTGAAGAATTCCTTAGTGATGTTTATTAGTACTTGGAACTGTTATTGCTTACATGAATAGATTCATGGACTGGGATCCCTCTTCTCTCTGCTTAAACCCAATGATATCTCTTTATTAATTATGTGAAACATGTGCATCAAAATATTACTTTTTTAATCACGGGTTTTGGGTTTAAGGTAGTTTACATATAGCAATGTCCTTGATAACCGATAAAAATAAATATGAAAGATTTTGCAGACCAACAGAGGATATTAAGCAGCAACTGGTGTATGAGATTGAGAAAATACGGGAAAACAAAAGCTTGGAGGGGAAGAACAATTTAGCCTCAAAAATGCCGGTGAAAGTGATCAAAACCGACATTTTTGACTCATCTAGTATTGGCTGTTTGAATATCCCCACTGACGTTTGGGACTACGATTGATCAGTTGAGTGGATAACGTGATAACGTCTGAAGTGAATGGTACTGGGTTTGAGTACTGGGGCGAACGTCAACTCGGATGCAGGCACATCTATCTGATGAATCCCAGAAAGGATGAAACGCGTTTCCTGGATTTCACTGCTAACCACCATCCATCTCTGTTCATAATGGCATTCTTAACACGTATTTTTGCCGAACAATTTTCGATGCGTCTACGATCCCGTTAAAGAAACATGTATACATGTGTCAGTAGGAAACAACCCGACAGGTTTATACGACGTCTTGATCTGGATATTCGAGGCTTTATCCGTCTTGTTTTTACTCTATTTAATGCACATGAAAGTTAGAAATGATTTTAGACGCATATCTGAATCATCAGTTAATAAGGTTTGATTTTTTCTTTAAGTTTCTTAAGTAAAGCCCAAGATACGAGTTTTTTTTAAACTATCATCACTCGTGTATCACTCATAGGATGTGGTTTCTATTAATGAACATGGTTAAACAAAAAAGATCTGTTTTACTGAATAATATTCGTATTATTAGGTTCTCGGTAGATTTTTTGAATTTGAAACTGATATACATAAAATCTTCATCCGAAAGTTCGCTTTTAAATTATCCTTCCGTCTAACGATGAATTGTAAAAATATATTCATCAGCAAGCGATTTTTACCCATCGTTCCCTATTTTGATTTAGTTTTATGTGATGGAACGTAGGTAGTTTACGCATTGGATTTAACTGTTTGAGACGTTTTTTTTCACATCCTGTTAACCTTTTCGTTTCCATCTACCAAATGTATTGTTTCTTTTTGATTCAGGTAAACATTTCAACTCACCGGAATCATTACTCGTTTTAACAGCCAAAGCAATCGCTCTACACTTCCCATTTGAGGTTGTTGAATCCAGTCCAGTTACTGTGCCAGAAGAATTGCAAAGACTTATAGCCTTTCATAGCTTTCCAACTGATGAAGATGATATATGGTTGTATTCCTGTCTTAGCAGTGGGGGTTCATACGAATTTGATCAAGGTGAAGCATTGTGGGCTGATAAAGCTGTTAAAGAGTGTGTTCAAATCGGTACGTAAATATGGTAGCTTTTGGAGATAAAGATTATTAGCTTGGTTTGGATATTATATTTCGTATTGGTCCTACATATGTTTATAATTGATTCGAGATATCGTTTTTTTGTCGTAGACAATTATTTAAAATTTCCAGAAGACAGCAATTAAAGAGCTTAAATCTAACTTTTGTATTCAAAAAGTCATTAGTGGACTTTCACTTGCCCTGATAACATTTTGACTCCTTTCGGTTTGGGCGCCCGGGAAGTATTCCAGCCCCCACACAAATCGAATGACGAAGTGTGACGTATATATATATTTGTTGCCTCCTCATACCAAAGTTTATGTTTTTAAATAAATAAATAGAAACAAGACCCTTTTCTTTAACTAATTTTAGTCATAATATTGTGAGTTAAGCTTACACGTCCTCTCCTCCTTTATGGACTTCCATTATTGTGCAATAAAGTAATCTTAATATATTAGAACCTTAAAAAACCATAAAAAACCTCTATTAAAACAATTTTTAACGTTTTCTCACTGCACGCAACTTATTTGTTATGGATTAATAATCCATTTTCTAACATTATATTCTTTGTTGGAAATAGTTAAACATATTAGTTGTATGTAGCTAAAGAAAAAAAAATCAAATACAATGAATTGTTCGTATTCTACAATTATTGTTATCCTTTTTTGTCTAAGTTATTTTTCATTTTGTTTGAGTGACTTTATTTTGACCAAGTTACACATGCCAGTTGTTTAATGTGTGGGAAATTTTGTTTGTTCAATTTTAATATTTTTATTCCATTTCTTTTGGTTTGTTCTGATCAGGATTTCATCTGAGCGCAACTGTATTGACAAGTCTTCATATTGCACCTGCTTTTGTACCTCCAGCGAATAATGAGGAGAATGGTACAAATAATAATAATAATAATAATAATAATAATAATAATAATAATAATCCTAGTTCCAATGGTCATTTCATTCCATATGTTATCAATCCTAATCCAAATGATGCACATCGTGGACAGTCGAATTTTGAAAATTTTGGGACTGCAAATGAAAGTACTGTCAATAACACTAATAATAATAGTAACAATAATAGATTACGAAAACGTGGAATTAATATTGAGCCTGATTATCCTGCTCATCGAGTTTCATTGACATTCGATCGACAGAGAATAACTTCATGCTCATGCACGTGTACTTTCGGTTTAGAGGAAAGATGTACAGCTGTTGCATCACCTTCAAATTTTGGAGATAATATGATAAATTTAGACTCCACAGAAAACGTTAGTAATTCTATCAAATCAAATTCGTTTGCCTATCAACCAATGACTGGAACAGAACCAAATTCTGGAACTCTGTGGCAATTTGGTGCTAGAAATAGATCAATTTTTACAAATTCTCATATTAACTCACGCCAAATATCTAGTCAACTTAATAGTTATTTTCCAAATAGTAATTGTTTATCAAAAAATTCATGTAATCAAACATCTCCCAACAGTCGTCGTTCTTGGTTGTTTAATCAACATATTGTAAATCAAAATAACATACGCAATGATTTAATGCCGACAAATGGGCAAAATCCTACAGGAACATGGTGTTCACATGTTGTTGCCACATGTTTAATGCGTATTCGACAACCTGATAAAGTTTTATTACGTGCTCCTATATCAGAGTCTCTGTCAAAATTAAGTAGAGAAGATTTACAAAAATTTGCTCAAAATTTAATTTGTCACGTAGGCCCTAGAAAGGTAAGTTTGTAACTTTGCTTTATAAACTAGGTTGTTTAGATCGAATGATTGGACGGTTTCCAAGAAAAAGTTTTTATTGGCAATGTACTGGCTACTTTGCTTTGTTCTGTTTGTTTGTATTCCAGATACTGAGTGGGTATTCAAGTACGCTTGAGATACCTTTCCTCTCCTTCCAAATATCAAATGCTGCTTTAAGACTGGATTATCATTTTAAGAATTATTTTGATGATAGGGATTATAGTAGTTGAGCTCGTTTATCACTTGCCTTGGAAATCTCATCAATCGTGGTGGTTTAGCAGTCTATGAAATTGTGGAACACATAGTGCCAATTTCTTGGCTTGTACCAGTTCACGACACCTTTGGGACAGGTGATATATATCTCTGTCATCCAGAGACTGAGCACAGTGTTAAACACTCAGCTCCATATTACTTCCTGACTGACGTGGCATTTCTAGGTTACTAGCGTTTGTCATAGGTATCTTCAAAACTGGTGTGTATGATGAAGGAAAATGTCGAGTTAGACAACCCGGATGTTAGGTAGAAAATGTGTCGAATAAAAGCGATAAGTGCGTCAATGAGATAATAAATTCTTGATTGAGGTGGCCGGTAATGGTTATCATTATTTCAGTGGGTCAGATGACCAATGTATAAGTGGGTTAGAAGGTTAATAGTATCCGTTTCAAGATGTGACATTTCATAAAGTTTCTAAATGTTTTGAAGTCAGTAAGATTACCGTATTTTATGGTTGGAGATCAGGTGATATGGCCTTATCTTTCTTCAAGTCTTGAGTTTTAGTATTATTACATACTTTTCCTTCGATTTTATTGGCTTCTCCGTTCATATGATTATTTTCATTCTTTTGCTTTTTATCTTGTTTATTCACTTACTATATTGATATGAAGTGTGATAGCTTGCATTAATGCACATTCGCGTTAGTTCCCGTGATTTTATGTTTATCATGTGCAGTATTCCGTTGGTAGCTGGTTGATTCGTCGTTCTAAGTCGTCTAGTTAGTATATTTCAATTTTTGTGTTAGGGTTGGTAATACCTCCCCACTGCCCGAATCGATATAAACGAAGCTTGGTTCCAATCTAATACTCAATAGTTAGAAGTTGAGTATTTGAGTTAATTCACAATCGTGTCTGAATTCTGTTCGTTGTACAGGCATCCAGTCGGTCAGTTTTTTAATAGACTAAATAAGGCCGATAGTATTTCGAACTACGACAGCATTATTACCACAATACTTTGCTTTGCTTATGGTTTGTGTATGAACTTTATTTCTTTGATTTTATGATAGTTCGACTGCAAAAGTCATCGCTTGTTATGACAGAGTTGCTTTTAATTAGTAGCCCATTTATTTTCTCTAAAATTCATTGTTTTTTTGTAATTACAGATGCCATATTTATTTACTTGTTTCGCAATAATAGATGGATCCACTAGTTCACTGCATGATTGATTATCTTCTGTTTCGTTTTTATCTTATCCTTCTTTTTTCCCTTCGTAGATTTTACCAGCTGCACAGCTTATTCTAGACCAGTTATTGGCTGCTACAAATAATCCTATTAAAAATTCTGCTGGAGCACCTGGTATGTATCACTTGAGAATTTTATGGTAATGTATTTATTTATAAATAAAAAATAACAGTTACATTAATTGATCACTAAATGAAAACCTATATTTAGTCCTTAATGTTGACCAGATACCCGTAGCTTAACTATATAATACAAAGAATGATAACGCATCGTGATATGAAGTCTCTAAGAACAATAGTCACCTTATAAATTGATCAATAGAATCCAATCAATACTATGAATCAGGCCGTAACACTGCATAGTGACATCACTATACATTACTTCTGTATATTTGGTCGATTTTTACAATAGCTGTTTGATACCTATACAATAGCTTGGGTTTGCCGAAAAAATTTGAAGTGTAAGTTGGTTTCAAGCGTGCTGATATGATGGTAGCTTCGGGAGAAGTAGTTCATTAGGTTGGATGAGCTGGCTATCCATGAGTAGTGAAATAAACGAGTTACATATGTAGAAGGATCGAGGGTCATCGTTCCAGAACACTGTTTATATAGTATGAGGTATTATGAGTCTGACTAGAATAAGTGGAAAATAGTTTCAGTGTTCTCCGATCAGAATATTATAGTAATTCATACATAAATCGGCTGTTGGTCTGGAACGCATTGGAATGTGTATATTTCTTGATTATGGCTCTCAACATGTTAGAAATCACTAGTTTGATACATGTAAGGTTTGTCAACATTAGATTTAGTGGACTCATATACACCTATTCTTCACCTTTTAAATCGTAAATACCTTATTGCCTTGCATTTATTTTTCTCTCGTCTACTCAGATACTTAATCCGGTTCATTTATATTTTATTTTGCTGATTTTAAATTTGTGTTGATCGATGAGTGAGTGGTAAAGAGGAGGTGATGGGTAACATCTATGGACTATCACTGTTGCTTTCTGAGTAATTTCGTCTGTTTATCAGGCTCATTCGTAAGGGATTATGTAAGCGCTGAAAAACCTATAAATTTCAAGAAGAAAAATACGAAATATTAGTTCTTAAAATGACTTAGTAGCGATGTAATGAACGGGAACACAGGTCGAGCAATCAATATATTTTAATACAAAATTACTGAGTTCTTTCATCAAATGTGAAAACCATACATTCAATGCTTCATTTAAAAATTCTCCATCAATTGCCTCAAACTTAATCGTTTCTTCATTGTCATAACAATTACTCTCTGTTACCGTTCTCGTCGATTCGATCTTCCAACCTTCTGCTGCCAGACATTCCACTTTTGATTGGTGTTATATACTACTTATGTTGACATAAGTAGCATACACCACAGTAGTAGTGGTAGCTTATTTGTATAGTCGTGTGATTTGAAACCACTTATCGTCCTACTTTTTTCAAGTGTGCATATGGTTAATAAATGAATGAGTTTTTAAGTTGTACGAATCTTTCACGAATTTCATCTTAATTGATTGGAAAGTTAATTTGAAAAATTTGTGTATATATCAAATATATTGCATTTTGTAGATTATTTTACGTATATTGATCGATAATAATTTCCTTTTAAATAGACCCAACCGTCGGTGGAGCTTTGGGAGATGCAGCAGCGTGGTGTTTTGATGGTGGTGTATTAGAAGAAAAATTACGAGTTACACTGCGTAGATTTTGGGCTCCACGACCTGTATTATATAGTGATATTGGATCACTAAGTTTTAATTCACCTACGGAAGTAGAGAATTTTCACTGTATACTTCGTTCTTATCGTGCCAACGAACCACGTGGCCTTTGGGCATTACTATCATTTATTAGAGATATGATGAGAAGACAAGATAATAATGGTGTTTTACTCTTAGAAATTGTTACACGATGCATTTTAGATATGAATGAGGTAATCTTGTGTTTACTCTGTTTTTTTTTAATACATACTACAAATATAATATTCATAGATTAAAGTTGTTGCTATAAAACTCAAGCAGCATATTCTCCTTAATGTCCAAAGTATTTAGATGGAAAGGGTTAAAAGAAAAAAAGCATATATTCACCATTTTAGACAACCACGATGAATTTCAATTTTAAAATGTATTTTTGCGTGGGTGAATGTTGATTCGTTGATTTTCCTTCTACATAAAACCTCTTGTAAAATAACTATTTGTACCTGGAAATTTAAAACGTTCAGTTTTGTCATCGTGTCACAGGGAACTCAAACAATGATCTACTTTCGATGTCTAGAACTTCGTGTTCTTGTTACTTCACCTCACAAACCTATTAGTAATAAAAGTTCAAGTTACGTAAAAACCAAATCCCAGATAAAATTTATTTGATTTTTGTTGTGAACTTATCATTTGGTTAATATTCACAATGGTTTCTTATTAGTTTAATTATTTACTTTGCCAACTACCATCTACTGAGGAATTAATCCCCACCATGTATACTTTTGATTATTATTAGTATCAATGGCATAGATATGTGTTTGTTAGTTGAGATAGTAAATGTTAGCCACTGTTGATGCAATAGATGTTGAGTACATATATATACACACACACACTCATCTATACAACTATTCTCTTCATTTTTTCTATCTACCTTCATATTTTAACAATTGTTTTTTGTTGTTGATAGTATATGACATTTCATGATAATATCTGGAATTTGATCATTGTTTTAGTGTCGTTTAGTTTATTATGCATACACCCTTCTAATGTTTACGTTTCTAGTCGTTTTAGCCTATGTTTAAACTGTAATGCTTCAATGAAATTTGATCTTTGAATAAATAAAACGAGTGAGCAATTTATTCAATTTACTGAAATCAGAGTTTATTCGTATAGATACAAGCAATTTTTTAGTTATACTTAGTAAATTTAACGAATCAAAGTACGAACATAAATATATTGAATTTATTGGAGTTTATTGAAAGGCCTGACTAAGAAAAAAAAAGAAGTATTTCAAATATTTCTCAGCTTCTTTATACTTTCCAGGAATAATAATTATTATTTGTTAAATGAACATATATCTAATACCCATAAATTTATTTATCAGTTTATTATTACAAAATAGATTATCGATGTTTTGTAGTGTTGGGTAATATCCTGTTTTTTTTCTTATTCTTTTTCCAATTTGCCAAACATTAAATAATTATAAAATTATCTCTTTTTTTAAAAAAAAAACAATACAAATAAAATATTTGCTTCATATCCTATGGATGTTAGTGTATAATCTTTCGAGTTTCAAACTTCTGTCTATCTACCTTACATTTTTTTGCGCGGAGTAGTATCACACCATCAGTCATCATACAAAACAGTATGGTTCAAAACTCTGATTACAGGAATGTCAGTACTTGGTGTCTAGGGTTAACATACTGTAGTCAAAGTAGGCTATGACAAATGTTTATAGATTTCAAACTAATGATTTTTACTCAGCTATTCATAATATAAAAAAATTGTTTATCATGCTTATAGGTTATGTTTTGGTGGTGTACTGTTCAAACTAATCCTTGTCACTTTCCTGAAAGTGTATCTGTTCGTCAAAAACAAACTCAGTGTGTTGCTGTTTGGTTATGTGAAGAAATTGTTCAACTTTGGAGTTTAGCTTGTTTAAATCCCGAACTTCGACCAATTTTAAATTATGTCAATCATAAATCATTGTCACCGTCATCATCATGTGGAAATAGTTTATTTTCTACTGAAAATTGTAAATCTTATTCAGATTGTTGTTGGCTTTTACAAAAAATTGCTCATAGACTACAAGCATTTCATGCATTCGCTTTAAAACAAGCTGATATTCAAATAAATTTAACAAGTACTACTGCTAAAAACACTATGACTATGGTTTGGTGTGATACATTAGGCAATGGATTATTTCCTAATGAAATATCTTCTCAAGACGATTCTGATATAATACCAAAAAATATTTCATTATTTTCGGGATTTTTACCGGCTCTTGCAGCTTGCAGGTAGGAAATTTCTAGACAGTAATTTACTTTTATTATTTTTTGGTTCATTTTAACGTTCAGTGAATTTAGCATTAAATTAAACAACAATACTTAACTATATCATAAGTTTATTCATTCATTCTTTAAAATGGTATTTTTATGGTAAGGAGAATAAGTAAAACTTGTTTGTTCATTTCAAGGTTTGTACTTGTTGAACTGATTAATATGTTTACATTATTTGAGTTTTCTTTAACTTTGTAAAATAAAACAGTCCCTTATTGGCATGTGTGCATCCTGTGCACGTTTCGTCTTATTCGGGACTCGTCAGCTTGGCGTACCTGCATTCCAGAGTTGGTGTTCACTCCTCAACTCTAACCCAGTACCGTTCACTTCAAACGCCATCCCGTTATCCATTTGCAAAAATGAATTAAAACATCACCCCATTGCACAAGCTAGCGGCTATCCAGACTGAGTAGCTAAGTCGGTAATGTGATGGCGTTTGTTGCGAACCGTACTGGGTTCGAGTTGCGGAGTGAACAACTGTGGGATGCAGGTACATTCAGCTGACGAGTCCCAAATAGGACTACATATACGTCCTGGATTCCACTGCTAACCACCATCCATTTTTGTAAATTACTGAGTTAATGAACAATCTATTCTTTTAATATATTGGCTGAAATGATTCAGTATCAAGCAAATCGTTTGACATCTCAGTCATCACTCGGACATTAGAAACGTAGAACCTAATACAATATGCATCAACCCAAGTAACTACACTGCATTGGAAGAGCAAGAATAAATTATCAAGCAGTAATATCATTGATATTAGAATGGATTAGCCTTTGAGAATGTAATTCAAGACGACTGAATGAAATAGCGGAATGGAAAACACAAAATAGTTTTGAAACTCTACATATAGGGGGAAACAAAGAGTTGATCTATTTTAGTATGATTGTTTTTCAGCCATATCACCTAGTGTTGTAATACCCATTTTCATCTGTTGGATGATGAACGGATTTAACTCATGTTTTGTTGAAGGTCACTCCACTTCACTAGTTACCCATATTGCTAAAAACATACACGATCTAATTTATCTTCTCTGTTTGCTTAGTACTGAAATATATTGTAGATCTAACGGATTAAGAATTCACAACTAGATCATATCAAGCTTATCGACACACACGTTATCATAAATTGATTAAACTTGGACTATTGTGTAGTTCATCGATGACTCAGTAGTTTCTTCCTCATCGGAAGACTCCAAAGTCTTGATTCCTACCCCGATTATGGTTTCCAGTATATAACCGTAGATAATTTCAAGGCTATTTTGAAATAGCTGTCCAGGGTTTACTGGTACTTAACTAGATTACCAGTTGATGTCAGTTTTTGAATAAAATAACCTTAAAATAAACGAAGTTTTAATGAATATTGTTACTCAGTTCAAGTTTTATTCATTTTTTCTAAGGATTTTGTTCATAATTTTAGACTTTCATGGTCTTCCGAAGTTCCACCTACATATGGTCTTTCCGGTATAGAATTTCTAAAATGTATGTTCACTATGTCTCTTCAATATTATATTTTTAATGTTTAAAATTCTGATGTAGCGAACAATATCTAGTTACAAGTTGTAATCCATACATTGTATTTTGTTTCTTGAATGTTATTGCAGTTACTGTAGTGTTGAAAGCGTCTTTACAACCTACTGTCTGGAATTGAAAAATTCTTTTAAAATAATTATTTAATTTATACGAACCTGTGATCAAAAAAATAACGAACTGTATTCATATTACGTAGTGATTTAATTGGTAAAAATTTGAGCGTATGGCTATTGGAACTTAATCATGCTAGGAGTGAGGCAGTTACCAAACAGTGGCGTTCGATGATGATTGTGCAATATCGCAAGGCGACAGAAATTAGAAATGCAAACCATTGGTGGTCTAGAGGTTAAATCCATGTCACGAGACTTAAATGGTCCTGAGTTTGGTCCCCGTTAGATATGTGGAGAGGTGGCTTAGTGGTTAGGGTGTTTTACTTTCGCCCACTAGGCCCCCAAGTTCGAAGCCTGCTTCGTCTATTTCGCCGCCTCAATGCCCTGGTACAGCCGAGAGTGAGGACAGTCAGCTCTTCCTCTCGAAATGCTCTCACATGGCCACGTGCATACAACCACTGCCAGGGAAGTCCTACTCACTACCATCTCGCGGCGGGGGTGTTTTTTACGAAATTGAGAGGACGAAACCTGAATGTCCGGCGCTTTAACCGGGTTGGTGGACACAGAGTTCTAGAGGAGTTGGAAAACCCTGATTATAAACCAATGGTGCACATGAGCTCCAGTATCCTGAGGGAATAAATGGCGTATGAACCAATCGTTGGCCATCGGCTACCAAGGGACTGCGTCTCCTGACGTTGCTCCACGGCCTTGCGGATTCGACTTTTAAATTAAAAGCTGCAGGTGTGGCCCTCTAGGAAAACCTCTTGCTTCGGTTTGGGCACCCGGGCAGTATCCTAGCCCTCACACAAATCGGATGATTTATGTGGCGGATATCTATTTGGTGCCTCCTTGTACCACTGTTTATATGTGTAAGTTAATAAATAAATAAAATAGTATCACTAACCCTCATACTTGAAGCGTTGCTCATACGCATATACTTGGTGCATGAGTTTATTAGAATATACTTTACCCGATGGTATGTCTGTTCATTGTAGAACAAAACCACTGTCCAATACTTTTTAATTCTCAGTAGTTGTCCAACTATGGCTGATCTATAGTGTAAACTACAAAATTCAACAATTTCCATAAATCCCTATGTTGGAGGCTCTTTGATTCTGTTATTAGATAATAATAAGTAAAACAGTGAATATAAATTACCAATAATAACTGTAATTAAAGAAATTGGTTTATAATTTCATTTTAATTATTGTTGTTATTGTTATTGCCTGTAAAGAAAAAGGTTGTAATTTTTCTCTTAAAATATTATTTTGCATTTTATAGTTATGCCATTATTTTCTGGTGCACATGTAAATAGTGATTCTGAAACAACAGATTATGCAGATATGATTTTGAATTTTTCAAAACATTATTACAATTCATTACGAAGTAACAATAATAATAATAATAACAACGGTAATCACAGTCATAATTGTCCAATGGAATTAGATAATTATTGGAGTATAGATCAAATGAATTCACAATTATTGAATAATCTTCCTTTACCTGAAAATCATATTGAAGTAAGCCATTAGATGATAATATTTTGAATATTTCTGTATATTGAGAATGTCATGAAATAAAATGAACATTGCAGGATGATTTGTGAAAGCCTAGAACTTATTGAAGTTAATCAGCTAGTAGAACGTAGGATCTCTGATGCAAATGTTCACCGAAACACTGTTATACTAATGGTACTAATAACTTGTTTTGTTTGGAGAGCCTCACACATTAGATTAATTCACGGGAGCTAGATAACTGGCATTATGAACAGTGTGTAATTGAGATGCATGCTTTCTAGTTAAACCAATTGTAGGACAAGCTTGATTTATAGTTGTACAGTTTGAGAGACCTGGATCCAAGTCTGTACTATCAGCGCAGATCCACCTGTTCTTTTTCTTTTTTATTCTCCGGTTTTAGTCTCTAATTAAAACCAGACAGCGGTTACTAGATTTAGTTATTCTCTTATTTTTTCTGATGTTATTTGATTCTGTTTCGTGACATCTTATGTCCCCTTATCTCACGTATCATGGTGTTAAAAATTTTCAGGGTACTTTATTTAGTATCTTTTTCTCGTTTACTATACAAAGACGTGAGATGTTTTTCTGATATCCGTAGTTTGTGAAGTTGTGGGATATTAAATTTTAAGTTGTATAATTACCTCATACGTTTCTATTGCACGAATTTGTTGTTTCTTCAAAGATCATATTGTCTATGTTGAACTTTTCCTACTGTCTCTGATACTGTTATTTCTTCTACTGATTTTTATATTCATCTTGTGAATTTCATCTCGTTCTACTGATGTGGTGTGACAATTTGGATTGATGCACGTATGTGCCAAGTTCAGCGTTGCTTATGACTAACTGACTTGTAATTCAGTTTACTTATTGTATTTGCTTAACCCTTTTTTCTTATTATTATTTTTTTATTCTGGCCAGTTGTAAACTACTGACATAAAGTTATTTATTTACTATCTTTTTATTATCTTCATTATCTAAAAACAAATATGGTTATGTTCATTTTGTATTGTTTGTTTGAATCTTTCTATTGATGTTTGGGACTGTAATTGGTCAGTCTATTATTGGCATATGTGCATCCTGTGCGAGTTGCCTCGATATTGCCTTAAGTCACAAGCATTATAAGCAAACATGGATGGTGTCTATGGTTCAGGTCATATTGGGTAAAATTTGCAGCTTTAATATTTAATTCATTTTTCAATCCATATCACAACTGGTTTTAAATGGACTCAGTGGATTTTTAGTGTTCATATAACCATTTGGTTGCAAGTTCATTGCATACTTCCATGTGAACAGCTAAAGAGCATGGTTTACAGCCCTCATACAAGGCACAGTGCTGTTGAATGTGAAGCACGTATGAACTTAATCCCATTTACTAATTTTTGTTTGAATTGGATTCAAAATATCCAGATTATTAAAAAGTACGAAGTGAATTTTTTAATTCCACAATATCATGTCTTGATACAAAAAAACAATTACGTGTTAGAGTTTTGGGTTGGTTTAAAGTAAATTATATTTACGAACAATTGAGAATCTTCTAATACGAACTAGAACGATTATTAACTCTAACTGATTGGATGTCTGACACACAAGCTAATATGAAATGGAGATAAAAGTCAAAAGTTGTAGAGAGACAACTGTGTTTATATATTAAAATGCATTGATATTGGGGTATATAGAAAAGTTAGCAAACAAAAAGCGATAATGGTCAGTCACATAACAGAGAAAGTCATTGGAAAATCATGAATCAAAAAAGCATCATCTTAGTTACCCCGTAGGAGAAAAACTGATCTGTGATAACAAAAATAACTAGATAGTCTAAACTCTCCTTAGTACAGAATGATATTGTTTGTCTCTGTTTGTTTTCTTTGCGTTATAGTTTGCTTTTACAAGATTTCAAGCACTTAACGCTCATGGTTATACCGAACAAGCCTTACATTGGGCACGTTTCCTAGCTCTTCTATTACTATATACCAGTAATGAATTTATCAATGAATGTGAACAAGCTTCTTTTGAGATTGTTGGCAGAGTAAAATACCAATCTTCTGAAACTAATACTACTAATCATGTAGCTAATATCAGTCGAAACACAGACAATTCACATAGAACTAATCAACAAGATTCATGTCCTGCTAACTATCAGTCTAATTCACGCGGTCAACAGAAATCAGTGCCTGCAAGTACAGTGTCAAGTTCATGGAATTCAAATGGTATACCTTGTGGTATAGGTAATAGTATTGGTGGTGTTGGTATAGGCGGTAGTTCAAATCCTCGAAAAAATTCACGAAATGGACGTTCTAAGAAAACTGGTGCATGTTCAAACACAAATAATCCTCGAGAAGCGACAGAAAAATTTACAAATTCAATTAAATTACATCCATTAGGTAAAAAATTATCCATTGATTACACTAAAAAGGTAAATATAGTGTGTGTCTGCCATACGTTTATATTGCTCTTTTCCTTTAATTTCTATTTATCTAGAATAATTTTGAATACGTGTAATAAGGTTTTCATAGAATTCAACGTCTATTTTCGAAAAGTAGTATAGTCGCCACATCAAAGTAATTTCTAGTCAACAACACATTGAAATAAATCTGTGGGCCTTCCTTTTTTCTACTCACGATCCTACCGGGATCAAACGTAGGACTTTCCCAATTCATGGAAACTGCTTAGTTTTCAGACCACTGATTCGGTATCTAACAATTTCAGATAATGTAATACTGGAAGTAAACAGCTTGTTTTCAATACTTGTCTAACTGAGGACATCATTTTTCATTTCTCTGCACAGAGTGTGGATTTTAACATGTAGAGTCGTATCTTGGAATTTTTTCGGGATATCTTTGGATGGTTGATTACTTCTAAACACGATCACTTGAATTTTTTGACCTTTATATATACTATTTTATTGTTCAAGTTATTTATTCAGTTACTACAGTTAAATCCACTAATAAGTATACACTAGGTGGCATGACATATTAATGATCTTGGTTTAAGTACACTAATATCATGATAATTTGTTACTTTTACTAAAGCGAAATGCTTATGTATGTATACATTGTTTATAAATTACAGGCTATTCGTTGGTTGGATCAAATACGTTGTATCATGGAGTGCCTTTCAAATGCACACAAGGAACGTATCTTTAGTATGCCGAATTCTTCAACCAATGGAAATATTTTCTTCCCTAAATCAACACGCTTTGATAATACAAATAATAGTACTAATAACAATGATAGTTGTATAAATAATAATAGTAGTAATGCTAACCATAATACCACTGATCACAGAAAGCAAACAGAAACTAACAATATTGATTTACATAGATCTTTTGATATATGGGAATGTATTGATATTGAGTTGATTTTTCGTCTTGGATTTTGTGCGTTAAAATTTCCTCGACCACCATGTTGTAGTCCATTATTAGAAGTGAAATTATTTGTTATAGAAATTACATTACTTACTCGACTTTGTTTTTTACCGATTCATCTTGCATGTCCACATGTAATATCAAGTATACGTAGTGAAGCTAAACAATTAGCATCAGATTTAACATTACATCAAAAAGGTGAGTACTTGTACGTAAATTTCACTTGTTTTCCTTCTACTCTACATAAACTGTTGAATTCATATGGATCGGTACAATAATATTTATTAATCTGTGGTAAATTATGTACAAATCGTATAAAATGTAAAAGTCGAAAATCTAGATTGATTAGTAGAGTAATTGATGAATGGAGCTGTTTCTTGCATACGGTTAGATTTCAGAAGAGATTTTGTGTTTATTCTAGTAAAACTTCTGAAATAAACAAAACTCGATAATTTCATGAACTCATATCTTAGTCAAACAATCCTTATTATTGTCTTTCAAACCTCGTGGTCTTATGTATCATGAAATCAGCTTTTTAGGAAATTCTAACTTTCTCTAATCTCATAGAAGCTAGTTGTTATTTTTATTTTGAATTTGTTCAATTTTATCGACAATTTCACATGATATTTGCCTGTACATTAACTTGAAAGATTAATTTATATTTGTCCATTTCATACTTTTATTACTATCATGGTATACTAATATTAACAAGTAACTAATAGTATATATGTGGTGTATGCTACTTATGTTGACAGATTTAAGTGGTATATAGAACTAATCGGGAATGGAATGCATGCCATTGAAGAGAACAGAAAGGGAAACAACAAGTAATTGTAATAGCAACAGAATTGAAAGAATCACGATGTAAAGGACAACCAATACAATAAGTGTAAATAATGTATTTAATGTATGACTTTCATATTTTACGAAAGCATTCTGTAATTCTTCTCTGAACAATAAATCGGTCTTCCTAACTGAGTGGTCGTTCACTTTATATATCCTCAATATTATGAATTCTATACCCGCTTCGCTATTAAATATACATTTTCGAATGTTGATTTGATTGTACACTTTTTATTCATTATAAGTATTTTCTGTTACATATCGATATTAATTACCATGTGTTGTTCTATTCTGTTTATTCATTGTGCGTTACTTCGTAACTTTCGTAATAAAGAACAATATTTAGGAAATATTATTAATTTTTATTGGATAATCAGTGTTTATATCTTATGCGATTTATTCGTGAATTTTGCTAATTGTTTTTTTTATTGAATAATATTATAGATATTTATGTCCCATTTAATTTGGCCACTTATTTATTTCATCAATTGGTCGGCGTAGTTCGATCGTATGGGAATTATTTACCACCACAATCAGCTAATTTTATCCCACCCATTCATCAAGATACAGAAAATGTTGCACCAAATATTAATGTTTCACTAATGGAAAATTTTTTCGCTTATCCAGTATTGTCAACTGGTGCAGTACTAGCTGGAAGTGGTTTACCATTGGCAATGGACATATATAATTCCACTAATGGAACTACTACTACTCATTTGTCAGGATCGGAAAAAAATGATCATCCTATCAATGTTCGTATAGCATCAGATGGAGAATTAGGTTTACAATCTATCTTATCAGTATTGGGTGTAAAATCTCGTGTGCCAGAAAGATTATTCACTTATTTTATTGAAGGTCAACGTGCTCAAGAAGATGCCTTAGCTGTATATCTGTTTCGTATGTATCGAGATGATATATCAAAACTTGATCGAGTAAGCGTTTATTTTTTTTCGAAAATTATTTTTACAATTAGTGAATCAGTCAGTCAGTTATGTACAACGTAGAACCTGGTACATACGTGTATCGATTCAAGTTCCTATACCATATTAGCATGGAGAGATAAATTTATTTCAATATAAATCCCAGCGTAGTAGTAGTAACCATATCAGCAGTAGTAAAAAAGATTAGGTATGAGAAAGAAAAGGTATAAGAAAATTCCGGGACTCCGGTTCTAAAGGAAAACAAAGACTGAATGCACTTGAGCTATCATTATCAGCATCAATATTGCGTATTCATTTTTTCGATTGATTGTTTTAATGACCTAATTTATAAACTAGTTGTTGCTTTACTTCCACCTCAATGACTCACAGTTTAGGGTTATGATAATACTTTTATTGTTTATTGGTTAACTTCAGAAATAATATTTTAGAAATATTTTGGGACTCTCCATTTCTCATTTACTTTCATGCTCTCAAATATATGGTTTTATGACATCTACGTGAAGCTCAAATGCCAACTTTTATTCTGATAAATCAATCAGGCAACTCCGTTGTTTAATATAATTTTTGTGTCTTATATGAAATGGAATGAAGTTAATCCTTGAGTTTTCTAAGCTGCATCTTTCGAAACATTTCTCAGTAATTTAGTCTATCTACAAAATACTCTTTATCCCAAGTTAAATACACTCGGTCTATTAAATTCCTAGTATTATGAATTTTTTTCTTTGGTTAGTGATCTTACAAACAATTCTTGATGAGTTTAGTTGTTCTTGTGAATTATTTTATTGGATATTTTTTTTTATTCCTTTAAAACAAGCTTATGTTACAACGTTTCTGTTATGCTTCATATTTTTAACTTGATGACTGAAGGCGAATGGATTAGGCAAGAACCCTTGTAGTGAATGTTCCTGAATGTATATACTTAAGTAATCAGATCAACTAGTACGTATAGTAGTAACGAACAATCAGAGTTCAATGGGGTTGAATGAACACAACTGGATTGGTTTAATAATAGTATTGGATTAATTCTAGAATTAGATCTCTTTGTAATTGAATTGGGTTTATATGTATACTGGCAGTAGAACCACTAGCAATTGTATTAGAATAGAAATGGTTAACATTCGAGTTTTTTTTTCTTCATCGTCATCTTTGAATGATATCTGTATTTATAGTTGATTTTGTGCATTGTTCATTTGCCGTTGTATTTCGTCTATCTATTTTCTGTGGGTGTGGTTAAAAGCTATTGATTTTATTGCGCCATGTAATTCTGTAGTTTACTGATCCGCAATACATATATCTCGGATTAATCTCGTAAGTATTTTAAAACTTGTCACGTGTATATTATATTTTAGACAAACCATTAGAGTCACTATAGGAATTTACCGTGGAAATCGGCTTACTGGCAAACTCCATGTTTAAGCTGTATGTATATAGAGTCATCAAACAGTTAATAAGATAACTGGAAAATAAACACATACATACTAACCAGCATACGTAAATCTGGAAAAACAGTTATAATATAAACCAGCGACATGTTTACTAGTCAAGCTTGTACAGACAAAGATTGCTTATATATATATATATATATATATATATATATATATATATATATATATATATGATAAGCACTACTACACTACATTGTGTTGCGACTATACTATCTTGGTTGGTTATAATGTATAACTTATAATGTACTGATCAAAGCCTTCCTGTAATCACTCTTTTAATAATTTAAATAAAGTATGAAGATATCAGCTGTTCCGATAAATATGGTTTAATTGTTTTTGACATTTCATTGGTTTTATCGATTTAAAAGATCAAACTAGTTTTATCTACGTCTACTTGAAAATGTTTCTTGGAACATTGTTATGCATATAATAATGACAATAATGGCAATAATAATAATAATAATTATAATATAGTTTGCATTTTAATATAAGGAAGATGTATTATCCATCAGTTTTATTTATTTAATTCTTTCTTTGAATAAATAAAGATAATAACATTTGTTATTCTTTTCTTTTTACGTTAACTCATTACAGATTCGTGCACGTTTACTTGATCGCTACTATAATCCATACTTTAAATCTCCGCCTTTATGGGCTTGTTTAAGTTTGGGATCTCATGAATTAATGAATTTCCAAACATCAAATCTCGACTATAATTCAGTTCCTGAAGTAGTGGTAACAAGTAAAATTGAAAATAAATTGAATGTATCACAAAACACCTCTGTACTGGTCGCTTCATCAGTCTCACTTGAACTAAATAATTTATCACCGAATAATAATAGCAGCAAAACTCGAGATGTATTAATTTTGTCTTCACCTTCCAACGCATTCACTTCCAAATTAAATGATAATAATTTAATGGATAACAACACACTACAAACTTATGCTAGTAAAGATCAGAAACATTCTTCAATAATTAAACCTAATAATACTGTGGAAAAAATGACTGATGACGATAATAGCGTCAATAGCAGTAGTGTTCATCGAGGGAACAGGAATGGTATGTTTTTCCTTTTGTCTGTATGTACGTTTGTATTTGTGTGTGTCGGTGATAAATGATGTTCTTTTTAAAAATAATCTCATTACCAGAACCATGTTGTCCCATTTTAGCTTTATTGTTTCCTATTTAAATATATTTTGTCCTCAATAAGGATTATTAGTTGATTTAATCCTCATTTCTAGTGTGTAGGATTGAGCTACTTTTTGAGTTATTTCTCGCCTATGTGTGCTCGTGTATGGGATTATGATTCATCAATAACATCAATGTATTATAGTATTGGGTATATCATAAAAATGCTGAGATCCTCTTGCGAATGCGGATCCCAACACGATGGATATTGGGGTTTTTGTTGTGATGTTTGCGGGTGGTTTTCGCTGAATTGTACGACTGGATTATGAAGAAATTAAGGTTGTCACTTTTCATGTTAAATCATACAGTTGCATACACTAGTCGCTGAATTATATATATAATTAAAATCCATGTGTAGTTGATTATGGAACAGTTTACTGGAAGGTTCTTATACACAAGCTACGAAATTCGTCGTTTACGATATTGCTCGACCATCTATTGTCTGCGATTGATAACTGTCTCACCCTGTACGACTGAACACTGATTGTGGCTTCTTACTAGAGCTCCAGACATTGCATCTTCAAGCTAAAACCCTATACTGACAATAGTCATGCGCTTCTTAGTCACTAGCTTCAAGATACAATCCCTGGTGCTTTAGTGAGAAGCCATGACCAATGGAGTTCGACCGTGTTGATGTGAGACAGTTATCTACCGCAAGCAATGGAAGATGGTCGCACAATATCGTGAATTGATTGAATTTAGAAATACACACCGCCGGATGCCGACTTAGTGGTCTGGAGATTAAGCGTTCATGCACAAGACTGAAGGTTCTGGACTCGATTCCCTGTTTCTGGGTCGCGAATTGCCACTTCTTAGGAGTCAGTCCCATAATAGGACGAAAAATCTGTCCAGTGCTTCCAGGTTTCCGTTGATGGTCTAGCTAAGATTAACTCATGATGTAAACTATGAAAATAAATATTATTTTCTGAAAATTGTTTAGTTTACTGAAGCAGCTGTGATTGGTCATAACTGCGTCATTAGTTGTGCAAAAACAGAACTTCATTTCTACTGAGTCACTTGATAACAGAAAATGAATTTTCGCTGAAAGAATATTGGAACATAATAAACTAGTTTTGACCAAAGTTTGAAAAGTACTGTAGAGCTGATAGTTTATATGTATTACGTTATGGTCATCACCATGGATGATATATATTTGCAGAAACAAATTAGGAATTTGAACCATTTAGATATTCGGAAAGAGTTTACTGTTTATAGAGAAGAGGTTTTAACTTGGAGGTTAGTGCAATCGAATTTCGACTAACTGATAACAAGTTCTAACCATACTTCCGCCACTTGAGTTTGCTCCCTCAAGGCGAGACAATAACATCAGCAAAAGTAAAGCCAACGTAACTGGTACCATTATTGTCCGGTTTACAAGAATCAACGTAATTTTTCTCGAGGTTAACCTGGAATAAACAAAAATGTCCCCATTTATGGTTATTGTTCCCTCCAACACATTTAATTGGAATACTTTACTATTGATATGTTCGAGGGATTAGGAGATCATCTAGGACCGGCGAACAGGACGAAAGTTAGCAACACAACAACAGAACAGTGTAAGCTATTCCACTACACCCTATCCCTACCAACTAGATGAAGAAGACCAGATTCAGCCGGAAAAATATATAGTTCCACAAGCAACCCGGAAGAGCGAACAATAAACACTCAACTGATGCGTATATATAAAACACAAAAATGTTCTCGGAGAATGTTACAAAGTAGCGTACTAAAAGGAAAGATGAACGGATGACATTTAAGATCCTTCTGGGTGGGAAACACAAACTGAAGGTAAAAAATGGGTACTTCTCGCGCGAAAATGAGAAATTCGAGTTCCTGTAATTAAATTACAAAAATGAATGATTATCAAGTGATTTCTGGGGATCCAATATCTCCAGCAACCATCATTATAATCTACACATTGCCTAGCAGTCATTTCTACCCTGCAATCACTAATGAATCCTCTCAACAATTTCATCTCTTATAGGCCATGAACTATAAAATCTTTGAGACCAACAGTATAACGACCCCAGGTATATATATGCTATTTTGATATTCGCCGCAACCTTGAGATAGCTTACTCAAATCTCATCAGCTCGTCCATAGATTTATATTCTCATTTCATACTCTGAATAGTTATCATTTCACATGTAAAATGCATTCAATACTCGTATTACGTGGCTTCCTTCCTCCCTCCTTAAAAATGTGATCATTTATATTATAACCTACCGAATTGTTTTCACTCTGTACATTCATTATTTATTTATTATTGTTGAAAAGCTTGATTAACTTCACTCTGTTTATATATCTAGACCTGGATAAATAATTATGCTTATATAGTCATGATGATAGATTATGATATAATCTCTTTCATTATTCTCTAAGTAACCAAATAAAAGTCAACAATCCAACTGTTATGTTATTATTAATATTTCCCCTTCCTTTTTGTTGTTTCTTTCAGATATATGTCCTAATTCCAATAATACAACAGATTCATCAGATGTAGATAATATAGGTAAATTATCTGAGAATGATAAACAATATGCTCCGGCCAATAATGGCAACAATAATAATACTCTTTGTTCGTTCGATCCACTATCGATTAGTGAAGATACAGATACTTTATCTGACTCAAAAGTAGGTTTTGTTAGCTGATAAGATTTGATTATTTCGTTTATATAGATATTTCTTAGGAATAAGATAAATTAGTACACTCATATTTGTGTTTTTCGTGAAAATTTTAACTCAGCGAACATGGTAGAAGCTCTCGATAATTCAGCGGAAAATAGTTTTCGGAATCTATGAGAAATGCTAGGAAAATTAGGACAACCAATCAGTGCTCATATAAAATCATAAAAATGACGTTGGTTTTGGTAGATAACAACTTTCGAAGTTGAGCTTCTTCTGTACAACACGCCTTCTGTTTTCTTTTCGATTTTTAAGAGTGGAAGACTTCTGAGGATTAATAAGTCTTCACCTAGATGTTCAAACATGTTATCCATCAGTAAAATTTCTTGTTTAGTATTTTATCAGAAAGTTTATCTGTTGATGACTTTCAGCAGAACTGAGACATGTTGATGGTAAATAAAAATATTGACTACCGTATTTCTTCTAATGTATAGTGATTGCTCACTGTGTATCAACCGTCTTCTTTGTCTAGTTATTAGCACTGATGAAGTTTCATCGATCAAATCGCACTATGGTCACTGTCGTCCTATGTGATTTCACACTTGGTGTTCTATATTTTAATATTAGATGTTGATAGTATTCTGTAAGAAATCCTGACAATACATTGTATGCTAGTTCGGATTCGTTAGAAAGATGTATCTGCAATGTAGATAACGTTTGTTTGAATTCTACTGATTGTTGGTAATACGACGTTGATTGAGTTAATTAACGTATCACTCTAATTGATTTTCATAATTGTGTAAAGTCAATGTTTCACTGCATCCTAATTTAGTCAGTACAGAATTTTAATCCCTAATCAGCCACACTGTTGTAATTGAAAATCCAGGTGAGGACAACCAGAATGTCTTAAAATATGAGGACCGTACACTGAATACTTCATTTTCGAATTTCCATCATTTGTCCTTCACATTTTGTATGATTCTTCCAGTTGACAATTCCTTCCTATTATCTTCAATTTGTTCTTAGCTTTCTGCTGCCAGGTTTTCCTTTTCCGATGGGTGTTACATACTGTTTATGTCGAATAACATAAGTAGCATACACCACGGTACTACTTAAATACTTTTATACAAACAAATGTAACTATTATAAGGGCTTAATTGATTTTACAAAATTATTTTACAGTAGTTGAGATCGCGAAATAGTTATTTTATCTACTGAACTAACTCTATGCGCAAAACAAGAAAGATTTCCGCACACAGGACAACTTACCAAGTGACGATGTATTATTAATAATGAGGCCGATGGTAGTTATCATTGATTTGTGGGAGGGCTGTGATACTGCCCGGTCTTTTAAACCGAAGCAGGGAATAACTTAAGAATAGTAAATCGTATAATCGTAGTCAACAGTTCAAATAAAGCTTATGATAAAAAGAATATAAATATTTATAATCTAGTTACTTAACAGTTATACATTATATATAATAACAGTCTATAAATAGTTCTCGGAAGTTACTGATAGTTTAATTACCTGGTGGGGGTATAACAGGTTCTTAATTTATGTTTTTCATATAACCTTTTCTGTATGCATATATATATATATATATATATATATATATATATATATATATATATATATATATATATATATATATGGCGTGGCCTGTTTTATGTGTTACTACAAATTTTCTGCAAAATGAATAACAATTATTGAAGACCATTTTTCATTCCTATCGATTTAACGTATATTGGATAATTTAGAGCAAATAGTTGGTTGATTATTTTTTAAGCATGTGATGATTGAATAATGGATTTTGCATTTTCAACAGTAAATTCGTTCAATAGGCCACAGACCATACATTTTGTATTTAATTAAATCTAATACTGAATTGTTTCCGATCGTTCCAATTCTGTCATCGTCCACTTATGTTGGATTTTGGGAACAAAATGAAATTGCATGAGGCTAAGTCTTTGTGTCGGAAAAATTTCCATAACTTAAGTACTTTGCCAAAAATCGTGTATGCGCGGGTGATTTTCTCAAATTTATTTGATCAATCGACATTTAGACAGTTGATTGATAATCGAGAGTCACAAGAGACTGTACGTGTTGTATATTTTCATAAAGACGGGAAATAGTCGTTGCTAATATTCAGTAGCTTAGTTTGAATATTTATCGAACAGATCATGTAAAATACATTGTTTTATGTAGAAAACTGTCATTCTACAAATCTAACATAAAGAATTTAGTTTTTTTTTGTTATTGTTTTTCCATCAGGTTTATTTTTCTCTTACACGCAATCGTATTAACTGATAATTATATTTATAACTTTCTATTTTCCGATTTTTTTTTGTTTTTGATCAACAACAATCAGCTGGATAATTTACACTGTACTACTCTGTATGATGTTCGCAGAAAAATATCGCGTCATTTGAACACAACTGATACTACTACTAGTGCACCGGAAACAACTAGCAGTGATAATTCACCTGCTGTTACGCGTCGTTTGATACTGATTGGTGCTAAATCATCCGAAGCTCAAACAACAGAAAGTAGCGATGGTGGTGGCGGTTGTGGAGTGATTGCTGAACGTTACAAACAATTGTCGTCGACTTTATTGGATCCAGTGATAATCAATAATAATAATAATAATAATAATAATAATAATAATAATAATAATAATAATATTAATAATAATAGAATTTCTTTATACGGAACTGATATTTCAGATGAAAGTAAAGATTATATTCAACGTAGTGATAATGATAGACAAGTTTCTACAGTAGATGACAATGTCATACAATCACCTTTCTCTTCATTCTCTGATGATGAAGTTGATGATGGTGATGACGATGAGGATGATGATGACAATGAATGTATTCCTACTGAGATAGTTACAAAACAATCTGTTGCTAATAATATGGGAGTTAGTAATGAAAATAATAATACTAATAATAGTTTACGGACAAATGTCGTTCAGTCTGTGGTATGTTCTATAATTTGTAGATTTTTTTATTTATTGTATTATTGTTTGATAATTGTTATCGATTAACTCTGAAGTTGTTTAATAGTTCTGTTTGTTTAGGTGAAACATACTAGTAAGCATGTTGTAAACCAACGATTTAACTAATCGACTAGCGGGTTCGAACTGCTGTACATTTGCTCTAGCTTGTAAGCTTTGTAGTTTATACGGGCTGTTTTAACAATTTTGTTCTTGGTTGTTGATGTCTAATTCCTAATGCTGATCAATTTCTATGGATTTATTCTATATGACTTGACATTATATACACCGTTTTTTAAGTGTTAACTGGTTGAAGGCAGTTGGCAAGAAATCTTGGACCGATATTTCATGTTCCAATTAAATTTCATCAGCTAAGCGTACTTATGATCATGAATATTATCAATAACCACCGACTTCTTTTATACCGATTGTCATCTTTGCCTTAGTGCAGTTTCCAAAATTTCAAGATAAATAATAGTACGATGTAGACGTATGTTTATACAACTGAAAAATTGTTTTAAATCAAGACTATTTTTTATCGTTGAATGAAATTAAATTTATTTAGCCTCCATGTCTTATTTATATGATAATGGTATTTTTCTCTTTTTTCATTTTAGCCAAACAATACTTATATCCATTCAGGATCTAATTATGAATCTAGAAATAATTCAAAATTTAACTTCACATCAAAAATTTCAACGTGTTCTCTTCCTATTAGAAATTTATCTACTGCAACAGGTCCATATCGTTTACGCATAGGTTGGCATTCACATCTTAAACGTCCACCACCACAACCTTTATCCGATTCAATGGCTTTTCATGCATTTCAATTAGCTGAAACAATTCGTGAATGTGCTGGTGGTCCAAGTACCAGTGGATCTATGTTTGTAGCTGAAACTGAAGCAAACGATACTGTTCATCGTAATCTCCAATTAATATCATTTCAAGTTAGTTTATTTTAGTGTTATGTAACTAAATTTGTCTCATTATTTGTTAACTAATTTACTTGAACTATTAAAGATATTAACTTGTTTCGAAATAACTTGGAGATCTCTGATAAATATTAAATATACAATTAACATGTTAAGAAATATGTGCTACAGTGCTAAGAGGTTATCATTGAATGATTAGAAATCTCAACTTTCAGTTGGCAAGTTGTATGTTTGAATCCTAGTCCACTTACTCCGGTTTTGTTAGGAAGCTAGCTGGATGGTATTACTAGCCTCTCAAAGCCGAGTACATAAAACTTGGCGAACAACCTACATAGTAATATGCAATAGGAATGTTCATATTTTTTCAGTCAAAAGTTGTAACTTTGTTATGAGAGTCATATTCATTGTACGATTCTTTACAGTTTACTCTGGAGAATGTGAAAGTTTATAATTAACTTCTCAGTTTTCAATAAATTTATTATAATGTATGCTCAAGTAAGTCTGTCTTTTATAGAGGGATTATGCCTTATGTTTTTTCCAATGTAAAATTCACCTGTTCTAAAACAGCGTTTATAATTTAGAAGTTTTCATCATAAGCTGTATGTATTTGGATTTTTGTGTTGATGTTCACAGTAAGATTGAACTCCAGTACACATAAACTTACCTACCTGACTACTTAGACTATTAAGTCCAGATAGTTATTAACTGAAAATTATATATCTTTACTAAGATATTTTATATCTTTTTTGTTTTTCATTTTTGACAGAATTTTTAAAAAAAGAAATAATTTCATTTTATTATTTTAGTTAGGACTTTATGGCTTAGGCTTATTCAATCGTCTTTTGCCTTCTTGGCAAAATCGTACATTCTCAAGAAACGGTGGATGGATAAGTCAACAAGTATTTGAAATCGGTATACCGGCTGCTTGTATTTTATATCATTCTTGGCAACAACATCTTACAGCTGCAGAACTAACCGCTATCTCATTTCAATTATCAAGAACAAACAATCGTTCTGTAAGAAATATGGATTATTTTTCAATTTTTTTTCCTTATAAAGTTCAGTGTTTTATTCAAATAAATAGTGATTAACAGATTGTAAAAGGTTTTTTTTCAGAAAAGTTTGGTTTTATAATTTTTAAATTTTTATTTTCAGCCTTTTTGTTACTTGTTCATCGTTATTGAAAATGCACAGATTATAATAAATAAATAAATATTTTTTTGCTATATCTCAATGAATAGAAAATTTGTATTTCTGACGTTTCTCCACTCCTACGAAAGTGGTTTACATTAAGTCGCGAAACATATATATATATATATATATATATATATATATCATCACTTACTTTCTACCCAATACTCAATTTATTTGAAACTATGAAGTCCAACCTTAGCATTGATACTTATAATTGTACAGTTTGTGTTTGAGAAAATTTTGGTCAGTTGTTATCTATGGTAATGTGTTGGCTTAGTGGTTAAAACTCAGTCTTCAACTGCTATATAATTGTTGGTTAAAAACTATGGTTCATCTGTTTCTGTCTGGACAATTGTGTAATGACAATAGATCGTGTCATCTAAAATGATTGGGGACGTCAATCAATCTTATGCAAAGGAAAATATAAGATGATATAAGAAGAAAAGCTAAACAATAACTACAAAATAAACTGTTCCAACTACACATCAAAGTGGTCGTCCTCTCCATTTTCCTTTGCATGAACACTCATTTGCTGTCAAACGCTATGATGTGTCTTCGCTTATATCAATTCACATGAACAGTTGTGGACACGAATTTGACTGAAGAATTGTTAAGATTTCGGACAAAGCTAATTAGTAACATCTCTAATTTTTGAGCTGGATTATACGGAATCGAATCTTCGGGGGAGCACTGTTTCCTCCAAGGTTACAGGTACACCTTACTGACAAGTGTCAAATAGCTCAAACGTTATGTCCATGGTTTCCTCCAACCACCACCACCAATACTTTACATTCTACCTTGTTTAATAATGGACTAATTTTTGTTTTCTAAAAGTAATTTATTTATCTTCTTAGTATGTTTTAAATTGACTCATGTTTTTTTCTAAAATTGTTTTGCATAGCTTGTTGATGTTGCTGCAGAGTTATGTCTTGCCAGTTTATCATTATGTACAGCGTTAAAACCACAAGAATTATACAGAGCATTAGAACAATGCGGTGAACATTCAAGTCATACTTTAGAACGTGGTTTATTATGCGTTGAACGTAGCGCTTATCAATCATCACATGATATTTTACCAGAGATATATTTTTTTATAGCAAGAAGTTGGTATACTTTATATCATTCAACCAATAAAGAATTTGAACAAGCACTGAATTCATTGGAATCCTTCAATAATTCCAATCAGTCATCATTGAAAATTCGAAATGATAACGAGAATTTATCCATGTTTAATAAAAATAATACTACGAATACAATTTTATCTGACTCAAATATTCATGTTTATCCTAATTTAACGAATTCAATTCAGGAATTGACTAATAACGATATTAATAATAATAGCAGTGTCACTAGTAATAATAGTGATATTAGTAATAATGCTACTATCAATACCGCTATCACTACTACTGCTACTACTATTAATAATAATAGTAATAATTCTATCACAGAAATGTCATTAGTTTCAGATTCGAACCATGCAACTAGTGATAATAAAAGTAACAATAATAATTCTAGCAATGGTATCAATTTAACCAGTAATGATTTAGTTAATGCTTGGTATTATTATCAGTCGGTTAATTTATTGCCACAACCGATTGTACGAGGTGATCAACAACCGCATCATCAGCATCAAGAGCAACCAAATCAATTGATGTATAATGCCTCTATGTTGTCCCTGTGAATTTTAATTATGGTGGTCTTCCGCTTGGTCAACAACAACATCAATACGCATCATTTCCTTATTATATGAATGTGCTCAGTTTACAAACACGTCAGTCATTATCACAACAACAGACAAATAATAATTTATTGAATAACAATAACCCACAATTACAGTCTACAACACCACCAACACAACGACAACAGTCTGCTCATCCACCACATCACCATCATTTACCGTATTATTTGCCGCAATCTCAACATATAATTTCATCGATCCAAGTAAGAAGTTTTCTTTATTGATAGAAAATATTTTTGTTTAGTTTATGGAAAAAGTTAGATTAGTACGTTTTATAGATGCTTGATTTTTTATTCCGTACGATGAAATTTGAACCAGAAATTGATAATATCAAATTTAACTGTTGTTGTATAGCGCAGTTAATCCATAGTGGATGGATGGGAGGGGGCAACTTTTGATGAAGAATGCACTTGAGCTTCTAACTACCGGTTGTATTATGCGGTAATGATGTTTTCTGTGGAGTATCTGACCTACTTAGCCCGTTATTCCATAAACGAATGAACTGAAGAGCGATCGATCTTTATCAAGGCTTGGATAATCTTTTCTCATATTAATGTTAGTTGATTATTATGATTTTTTGCCTGTTATCCACTTTTTGGTATTGTTATTCGTTATACCCGACCAAAGCTGCTACCTTGACGCGGTGGTCGGGCTTGCCTATCGTGATGACCCAACCGAGCTATATTGGCTGGAACATATGTTCCTGTAGGTTCTACCATGCCAGGCAGGTCGATTGGAGAACGGTAAGACTAAAAGCAGCAACTCAAGGTCTGAGGGCGAAGTCGTACTGCTGACTGTAGAGAGGTGTGACAGCAGTAAGGTGTTTCCCTCGGACAACCAGCATGACAGCGATGCTGCCTTCCCACAAGGAGGGGTGGGGTTAGAAAAGGTCGACCCTAAAAATGTCACACCTCACCTTACCTCACGGATTTCCGTCTCCGGCGGTAAGGCCCTTTGAAGAACGGAGCTAACACGTCAAAAACCTTCCACAAAAAGGCCGTGCGCGACCGGCCTCAAGCAGTTGTCCCTTGGGCTCTGCGGTCACGCTCCCAGGTCGTCAAGACCAACACTAATCCAATTTCCTTTTCAGGTTCCTCAAGAAATACCCTTCCACGGTGTGGGCAGCCGGGAAGTGACATCAGCCCTCATACCCGTAACAGCACAAGAGACCAAGGTGGTCACATTCAAATCCTTCCTACACCTCCTAATACCTCTCTTATCTCCCGACTAACCCTCCTCACGTCTTTTTATCACCTCGCACCGCTAGGGCAAACGATTCGAGTACGTGGAACGCCATTCCTGGTCTCCTGAAACCACGCTCTAAACTACACGTAGGAGCTTTTAACGTACGAACACTTTGCCAAATAGGACAGCAGGCTTCCTTAGCTAAAACTTTAGAATCTCGCGCCATCGATGTGTGCTGCGTCTCCGAAACGCGCATACAGGATCCGAGTAGCGTCATTCATTTGACCTCACCATGCCAAAATAAAGAACCGACTCGATTTACGCTTCGTGTATCTGGAAGCCCTGATTCTGCTTCCCGTGGCCTCGCCGGCGTAGGTATAGCATTGAGTCCTAGGGCAGAACTAGCTCTCTTAGAGTGGATCCCAGTAGACAGTCGTTTGTGCGCTGTCCGACTGAACGGAACAGTAAGAATCCGGAAAGATAGGGACACTCGTCGTTGCCTCTTCGTCGTCTCTGCCTATTCTCCCACTGACTGCAGCTCAGATGATGTAAAAGATGAGTTTTACAGAAAGCTTTCGGACCTTCTCCGAAAAGCTAAGCGCTCGGATGTAGTAATAGTGGCCGGTGACTTTAATGCTCAAGTAGGTAAACTAAGCGATAGGGAAAGACACCTAGGTGGATCTTATGGTGTCGTGGCTCAAAGAACAGATAATGGCGACCGTCTGTTGCAGCTATGCTCAGATAACCGCCTGTTCCTTGCAAATACTAACTTTAAGCATAAGGAAAAACATCTTTTAACATGGCGACCCCCTAATTCGTCCCAACGTTGGACCCAAATAGATCACATCGCTATCAGCCACCGATAGAAGACTGTCGCTCATTCTGGAGCACATGCCTAGATTCAGATCATGCTCTAGTGCGAGCGCGTATTTGCTTGCGTCTTACTGGACGTAGGAAAGACGCTGCAAGGAAACCTCTTAGGGCCTACTTAATGATAGTCAAGCTAAGAGTATATTTCAGGAACAACTAGGAAAACAGTTAGGCAGCCATGTATGTGATGCCCACCCCGATGCAGCATGGAATGATATCCGAAAAGCTGTGGAAACAGCAGTGATATCTGCTAGTAAGGTAAACCAGAAGGTTAGGGAGCAACACTGGATCTCAGCAGCATCTATCGCACTGATAGATGCTCGGAAACTCATTCCACCTGGCTCTGAACATAATGAAGAGCGGAGTCAGCTTAAGCGCAAGCTGACAAGAAGTCTACGCAATGATCGCGAACAGTGGTGGGTAGCGAAAGCAAGAGAGATGGAAAAGGCAGCGGCAATAGGTAATAGCAGACAATTGTTCAGACTCGTTAAGGAAACCGGAATTAGGAACCCGACCGTTAGCGAAACAATCTCAGAGAAAGATGGACATATTATTCATTCTCAATCCAGGAGATTGGATCGATGGGCAGAACACTTTAGGGATCAGTTCAACTGGCCTTCAGCCACACTTCGGTTTCCCACGATCTCCAGTCAACCTGAATGGCAAGTTAATGTAGGTCCTCCGTCTTTACGAAGTTGAAAAAGCCATAGGAAATCTGAAACGAGGGAGAGCAGCAGGCCCTGACAGGTTTACTCCTGAGATTTTTAAGGATGGTGGTCCAGTATTAGCAATGAGATTAACTGAGGTCTTAGGTAGAATTTGGGAACTGGACGTAATCCCATCTGACTGGTCTCAATCACTGATTGTGCCAGTCTATAAGAAAGGACAAAAGTCCTCTTGTGACAATCACAGAGGAATCAGTTTGACTAATATAGTGTCTAAAATATTAGCTTCAATAATACTTCGACGCCTAACAAAGCTCGTGAAGAGCAGACTAGAGAAAACCAGGCTGGTTTTCGACCTGGACGTGGTTGTATAGATCAGATATTCACACTACGTCAGGTTCTAGAACACAGACACACATTCAGACGCCCCACAATGGTAGTATTTCTCGACCTTAAGGCGGCATTCGACTCTGTTGATCGTGAGGTTCTATGGCAGTGTTTGTCACTGAAAGGAGTACCAAAGAAGTACATTAACCTTATAAAGGCTCTCTACTCGAACACAACTGGTAGAGTGAGAGCTTATGGCGAACTGTCATCAGAATTGATTACCTCAAGTGGTGTTCGTCAGGGCTGTCCACTCTCCCCATTCTTGTTCAACTTTGTGGTGCGTACTTTTAGAGATAACACTCTCCTCATCTAAATTTCCAGGGGTTGAACTTCTACCAGGAGGTTCACTTGTTGACTTAGTTTTATTTGGTGAAGACGCTGACAAAATGCAGAGTCTTCTGACCACTCTAAGCAACAATGCAAGCATGTTCGGGATGCGATTCTCCCCGTCGAAATGCAAAATGTTGCTTCAGGATTGGGTTACATCGACACCCGAACTAGTGATAGGGAGTGAAGTAGTTGAGTGTGTCGACCGCTTCACTTATCTTGGAAGTCTCATCAGCCCTTGTGGTTGGTGTGTGACGAAATCTCAGCACGGATACAGAAGGCTCGACTAGCTTTTGCCAACTTGCGTCATTTATGGCGTAGGCGAGATATCCGTCTATCAACCAAAGGACGTGTTTACTGCGCAGCAGTTCGTTCCGTCCTACTTTATGGCAGTGAAACATGGCCGGTAAGAGTAGAGGATATCCGTAGGTTACTAGTATTTGATCATAGGTGTCTTCGAAATATTGCTCGTATATCATGGGACCATCGAGTAAGTAACACAGTTGTTACTAGGTAAGGATGGCAAATCAATTGATGAAGTAGTGAAACTTCATCAGTTGAGATGGCTGGGACACGTGTTACGTATGCCCAACGACCGACTGCCTCGACGTGCTATGTTCAGTGGTATAGGAGTAGGTTGGAAGAAAGCTAGGGGCGGCCAAACCAAAACATGGCACAAGTCCATGAAGTCACTGACAAGTGGACTGAGTCATGTTGGTAGGTGTAGACTACCTGGTTGGGGACCGCGAGATGATAGCAACCGATGGTTAGAGACCCTGAATGACATGGCTCAAAATCGTTTGCAATGGCGCAGGTGCATCCACTCTTTGTGTTCTCCCAAATTTTAATCTCCTTATTCCTCCTTGTCTCTTTTTTTTTCTCTTCCCAAATTTATTTCACTGTATTATACTCTTTAAATAACATCTCCAAACACTAATCTTCCCGATTACTGCTTATACTCTTATTACCTCTACCACTACGGGATTTGAATCGACCACTGCATCTCTGTGCTAATGTGGTGTGGCAACTCGAACTGATGTACGTACGTACGAAGTTCTACGTTGTTACTGACAGACTGACTGTTATTCGTTATGCTATCTTGTCCCTCAAGGCTTTTTGTTCTCATTTTAATTTAAACATTTTGTAACTTTAGTTTCTATATTTACTTTTAATAGCTATCAGCACTAATATCTGATGTGTTGGTCTGGAGATTATCTACCAGTTGATATACTTATAACATATTGGGCTATGAATACCTACCATGCAAAATAGGAATTAGTTACTATCCATGTGTATTTATTCCCAAATTTAGTCGAACTTTGGGAAAACTCCCCATCCAGAATATTGCTACTTATTCATTTATCATTACTTTTAACAATTTCACTAATAAATTGTTCATGCTCAAAAAGCTATTCTTATTATCAGTGTATACTAATTTTACATTTTTTTGTGCAATTAATTCAGTCTAATGTACCGTACTCATTTGGAATGTCATCTCTATCTCCAATGGGACCTGTACAGTCGCCTAGTAATTACTTTTTACATCCACAGTTTATTCCAAATACTCCTCTTCCAACACTATCATCATCTCAGTCAATGAATATGATTCCAAGTGGTCCATTTGTCACTATTCCACATCATATAAATCCATCTACTTCACTGTCTCCAACTGTTGCGACTAACGTTCTGGGTAAGTAATGTGTATTCGTTTTAATTAAACTGAAAATTAATAATAATAAGACGATTAATTGAAATCATTATAGTTGTGTAATGGTGTTTTATTATCATGGAATTATTTGAAGATTTCGACTTGTAAGCTGTATTATAAGACAGCTTATGGAATATAGTACAAACGAAATGACTTTTTAAGTATATTTTTGAAGTAGGTAGTTTTCAACCAATCAGCTGGCCATTTCTGATTAGACGCTTAACATAGCCGTAGTTTTCAATATGCTTAGTCGTTTCACATTTTATTTTCTAACTAGGTAGGTAGTAAAGCTGATAAAATAGATATCATATTTGAGAAAATGACAACAATATGATAGAAAGTCAATCATAATTAAATAAAGTCAGTTATCCATACATTTCTCAGAAACTCTAAACATTAGAATTCTTCAATTTGACGTTGTTGTTACTGCATATTAAAACCATATGTTAACCATTTTTGAAAATAATTAATTTTAGCCTGTAATTCGTATCAACCTTACTCAATGGATCAAGCAATGGAACCATCATTGTACGGTTTTAATCCTGCAATGACCTTACCAGCTGTTCATCAATCCATGGTCTGTAACGTACTTGGTACTCCACCTCAGCCACAAGTACAAGTACAGCAACAACAACAACATCAAACCGTTGAGCCGGTTACGTCATTAGCATCTATAAACACTAATAATAACATACACAGTACTAATAACAATTATACCAATAATGTTAATTTGAATACACTATCTGATAGCACAGTTATTTCAGTCAATTCACTATCATCAGTTATATCATCTGCATTAACATCAACTCGTCAGTTGACAACATCAAATACTGCTTCTAGTTCTGTTGTTGTACATCCATCTATGTCTGACCAAGGATCGATTATATCTGAAGGTGATTCTTGTCGATTAGCTGAATCTGTAGCAGATGGATTAGGCGATGAAAACAATCCATATTCTAACAATAGTAATTCTTCCGGTGATTTGTCATTGAATAGTAACAATAATAATAAAGAGAAATTGTCAAGTATTACAGCGAAATCAACAGTCAGTGAATTACAGTCTTTAAAGTTGAAAGCACAAGCTTATTTAATTCGAGCATTTTTCTGTGCAAAATGTGCCATTAAGAAGATATCAGCTAACCAAGTACGTTTCTTTTCTTTTTTGTTTTGGGTTTTCCACTTTTTAACCCCCCGTGCTGATATTTTGGATTATCTGGTTCTATAATGCAACATTATTTCTTAGATATTTACTTATAAATTGTAACTTGGTTAAGAGAATTCAGTCAGGTCTTAATGATATTGGCTACTACACTACTTAATGATAGATCATTTGTAAATATCTTACTTTTTCAAAAAGTGGTGGTCACTTGCAATGTCTCAGACTGTAAATATGGATGATTGGTGCAAATCCGAATGACTGACTGCAAGGCGTTTCCTACTAATTGTCTGCAACTACTGAACAATATAAATTAAATTGATCCCACTCTACTAATCAGTCGTAATCAGTCATGACTGAATATTAATACTTTCAGAAATTTTAGTAACAATGATTTTTTAAAAAAAAAGTTTGCAGACGGACTATCTTCATGTGAATATTATCAACGTTTACTTGCTAAATGCTTTTGGGATCTTAACTATTAGAATTCACAAAACTCAACTTAATTAGGAACTGGTTGGCAATTAACCAAGGACTATTATAGAACCTTTAATGTTTATCAAACATTCCCTCACTTTTGCGTTAGTTTTCTAAGGCTTTATTTGAATTTAAAAAAATAGTTTATTGTCTTCTGTCTTGATGGAATACTTTAAATTAATTGAAATGATCAGTAATTCTAGTTTTTCTTGTTTCAGTATATTTCTTCTATTATCTACATTACAGTCTAATGTGAATACAAATTTTACTCGTCAAAATCCTATTACTGTTTCAATGCCATCAAGAAGTATGCGAGGAAAGCATCATCATTATCATATGCAACAAAGCCATCGCGGAAATTCAACAAATCATTCACAACGTAGACATTTCATGCAAACTGATACTAATAATACTAACAGTAATTGTATGCTTTCAACTAGTACACGAAATACCATAATAACAAATGATCAAAATAATTGTTTACCATCGGAGAATTCATCATCATTATTTCTTATACCTGGTGCATCATCACCTTGTAGAGCATCGAATCAAGTCAGAATATCATCAGCTAATGTTAGCTCAGATTTTAATTTGATCAATGCTACTACTTCTACTACTACTACTACTACCACTACTAATACTAATACCAATTCAAAATCATGTAGTGCACATATACTGTGGACTTTAGATGTATGTTTTTCTCTATTCTTAGTCCATCATAGCATATTGTATGTAACTAAGTAATTATATCTGTTAACCATAGGCTATTTTGCACATATGTGATGTAAATAACTTTTAATTTATGACAATGTTGAATTATTGTCATATGGAGACACGAGATAGTTTTTGGGATATTTCCCTCTTTGTCTGTCATTCTCATTCTAAATTGCACTGAAATTTATCGCTATAATAATATAATAATAATATATTCTGGAAATAATAATTACAGAGTTCATGCCAGTTTACAGGTATGATCAGCTTGATATATATAGTAATATTGAATGTAGAGGACAGATATGTGATATTAGATTGTTCAGGTTCAAAATGTTATCTAGATAGTACAGTTTTCGCACATATTACAACAATCAACCCCAAATGCCGTGGTATAGTCGAGAGTGGGGAGAGTCCGCTCTCCCTCTCGAAATGCTCTCACATGGCCACGTGCATACAACCACTGCTAGGGAAGTCCTACTCACTACCATCTCGCGGCGGGGGTGTTTTTTACGAAATTGAGAGGACGAAACCTGAATGTCCGGCGCTTTAACCGCGTTGGTGAACACAGAGAGTTCGCCTAGGGGAGTTGGAAAACCCTGATTATAAACCAATGGTGCACATGAGCCCCAGTATCCTGAGGGAATAAATGGCGTATGGACCAACCAAGGGATTGCATCTCCTGACGTTGCTCCACGGCCTTGCGGATTCGACTTTTGGATCAAAAGCTGCAGGTGTGGCCCTCTAGGAAAACCACTTGCTTCGGTTTGGGCACCCGGGCAGTATCCTAGCCCTCACACAAATCGGATGATTTATGTGGCGGATATCTATTTGGTGCCTTCTACCAATGTTTACGTGTTGAAATAAATACATAAAATAAATTACAGCAATAAAAAGCTTCAGCGTGGATTTTAATTATTTTTAGATAGACATCTCGTTGATGTATGATTGGCGGATTTCAGGTCATTTCCTGTGCCATCACGAACTGATTATAATCATCTAAAACTAGAGATAATAAAACGAAAGCAGGGGCAAGGAACAGCGAAAGCTGTAATTACTACAATAGGTCAGTCAGGTCTACTATAATACATGTGCTAGGTTATTTTATGATATACTATTCCTGTTAGATATTATTCAAATTAGTTAAGGTTACTAGAGACGGTGTAACTGCAAAGTATCAGCAGGTAAGGAGGTTCACTTAGTGGATTCAGTAATAAAAACGATTAGACGTTTAAAGTTCTTATAATCTCACTTGTAGAATGGGATATACTTACAGATGTAAGAACATTTAAAGTATTCTCATAGAAGTAAGCATCAGTGGAGTGAACAAAGGATTTGATTGATTTTATTTCACAGAGAGATTGTGGTCAATTATTCCAGAGTCTGAAATACTTGATAGAAATGCTTTACTTTATCTTATCCAACATTTATATCGATTATAAGAGTAAAGATGTGTTGTAGTTCTTATTACAACCCAGCTATTCCTATTGTTTAGTATTCTTGGACACCAATTCACTCGACAAGTCCCCAAATCAGAATACGGCTGAACAGGAAAGAGACTATATTCCAAATAATGTTAGATGGAAGTAAGAAGCACAATAAGAGAAACGTTAGTATATTTATAGTTTTTACATTAGAAGATTCTAGTGTTCTCTAAGTATAGGCTAGCGCTGATTGGATGAGAATTAGCCAATCAGCGTGCACCAACGCAATCGTGCATGGAGCATGCTATAATCCAATCTATGTCTCGCTAACAAGATGAATAGCACTTACTCAGTGTTTTCCAGAAAAAAAATATTATTCTTTGACATATTCCGTATCATTTTGATAATAATAATACTAGAATTGAAAATAATGATGAAACTTCGTTATATAATAAATATTAAGTTGAGAATTTCTTAATGTAATCAAGTATCTATTGTATTGTGTAAAGTGATTTTCTTAATCAAATGTATTTTACTCTTTGTATTTACTGTGATAAATTCTCTTTATGATTGGTGATTTTGTTTAATTCCAGTTAAATACATTAAACACGAAATTAACGGAATGAATAATTAAAACGATTTTGTTTATCAACTGAATGATTTCATAATTTTACGTGTTTTATACTCTAATCAGATGTTAAACAACTAACTACTTGTGAATTGACTTTCTACGATGTTGTACCTCTGCTTCAAACAGAGATAATTGTGGATTGTATTGTTATTATTTTTAATCATAACTTGTCTCTGCAATAAGCACAATACGGTGACTTGGTTAAGCGATAAAAGTTATTAGGTAGCAAAAGAAAATGTTTCTAAAGCAAGTTCTTTATTATGTATTCAGATTATTATTGATGGAGCAGCCGGTTAGTCGGTCAAGACATCCGACTTTTAGCTTCTTAGTCCCTGTTTCGAACTCTGTACCAGCTACTTGGGTTTACGGAACCGGGTATCATCATTATCCCTCACACGCAACGTAGGATTCTTAACCAAGTAATTAAAGAATTAGTTAACTCAGTTGTAATTCAAGAAACACCGTTGAAATTTAATAACGGTATTTTTTTTTCTATACTTTTAAAATGGGCTTATTTAGAGTAGTGAACTTGAAAATCGAGTTAAATATAATCTCCTTGATCTTTAAATAAAAGGTAACTTATTTGAAATCGTATTTTTGTCTTTTTGTTTTATTGATCCATCTACAGGTCGCTAGTAGTTTAGGTCCGTTGGCTGTGAATGAATATTGTGACTTAGTTTTACAATGTGTCAATTGTCCTTTGTTAATGGAACAAATCACTTCGAAAGTTATTGACTATTTTGAAAAATATACAAAAACGCATACACCATCTTGTAGCGTTAATAATGGTAGAGGCGGCCTAGCCAATATGCAACAAACCTACATTGATGTTTCCTCACCAAATAGAGTCATTTCTGATAACAGTGATAAAAATTTAAACTTTTGTTCAAATATATCTCAAGATTTTGTCAATCAATCTCATATGCCTAATCAGTTATGGACGACTTCATTGGCCTCTGTTATTCCTGTGTCTAATTGGACAACCAATTCCAATCCCCATAATCTGCACGATGTTGTTCATCCTCTGATTTCTTTACCTTTTCCTCATTCTGATCCCAATAACGTAAATTCCACGTTTAATTATCATTCTTTCATATCACCATCAATACTTCCACCGAATAATCCATCTTGGTCACATTCGTCTGTTCGACCTGTCAGTTATCCTATACTACGACAAAATTTATGTTCTAAACAATTACAGGAAAACATTTGTCGTTTTAAACAAATGAATTTAAATTCTGAGTCAAATATAAATGCTAGTCCGTACATTCTTTCCAACAATAAACCAAATAATTTAAATGTTGTTTTAAATCAATTACCTTTTTATAATCAGCAGACAAATTTATGGCCAATGAACCCACTGTCTTATATTCGTCCTGTTCCTGCTCCTCCACCCCATACAGTAACACCTAGTCCTCTGACACATCACCATCAAAATGACTTGTATCTGAATTCAGTGATGACAACAACAACGGGAGCACTAGGAATTCATCATGACAGTTACGCCACAATAGATGAACCAATAAAACCAAAAACAGTTGAATTTAGCGGTAGAGATGTAATAGAAAATTTGATTAATCATACACACACATTGTAAGTTGTTTTTTAAGAATATTCTCTAATCAAAGAAAATGATTACTAATGAATGATCAATGTCTATATCATTGATACTGCGTCTCAGGGTAGGCGCATATATATATATATATATATATATATATATATATATATATATATATATATATATCAGACTTATATTTATTTAAAAAGAAGCGAACTGTAATGTGCTGTTAAAATATGCAACCGTTTCAAAATAGTATGCATTTAGTATGGTATAGTTGACATGTACCTGCTAACCTTGTGATCAGGGCCTAAAACTAAATAACGGAAATCGTTAGAACAATTAAAACGTACTTTTTTTAAAGAAAACGTATTCGAAGGTGAAATAAAATCAATATATAAAGTATGTTATTGTGAAGTAGCACATTTAGAACAGAAGAAGCCATATACTGCTCAAAGACTTATTGTTTTGTTTTAGCCTACAGAATAATGATCTTAATGAGAAGGTATGTGTTTAACACGGAAAGATATATGAAGTAGATCAAGGTAGTTATATTTTCTCGAAAAAGTTGAAACCAGCTTTTCTCAAATGTTAACTGTTTAATTCCATGAATTGCAACTCACTAATGAACCGTAATATATGACATACTAAACATCGTGATAATAAAAATTATTTGTTGTTGAATCAATTGCACAATAGGTTTGAATCTATAATCTAATACTTTATAATTGTGTGTGCTTTTATCGTTCAACAACTAAATATGCCTACCAAAGAATAACTGTTGTAAACAGACAATAACTGCTTTTTTCCGTATTTTTGATCTTTTTTTGTTAAATTGTTCATTGATTTTTTAATTCATTTTTGTTTGTGAGGACAACTATCCTTCTTTCAGTGTTCAATAAAAATACAATGTTTAGCATTTTTCGACCATTTCTCAGTTCATTTAGACGGTGAGTGCTGTACTTAAGGGCGTCCTTTTTTACAGGGAGTTCATTCCAATCATCTAAAACTATCTATATATGTCTTCTACTGTGGTGCATCTCGAAATGCCGGATAGGAAAAACAAATAAAGTCAAGGTTAGAGCTTGAAATGATATCCTTAAGTAAAAATTATATTCTAACATCCAACATTCACATATTAAATGAATGGAAAAATGTCCCGAAAATACTTACTGTTGCAAGTACTTTTAGGTTTTTGCTTATATTAACATTTATTTATTCATCATTTGTTACAACTGTTTTCATTACACTTTATTTCCTAGATTTCAAAAATATATTGATCAAAGACTTCAGTATATTGGACAAAGTCAAGCTGAGTGGGATGAATTCGTTGATTTAATTTTAAAAGCGTATAATGTTCACTTAAGTATGCCCGCTATTGATTGTGGTTTACATTGGAATAACTTACTGACACGTATTCGTCGTCATCAAAAGTGTAGTCCAGCTTTGTGGCAGCGTATTTTAGCTGGTATACAAACCGCTGATTTAAAAAGATCAACTTAAATTCTTTTTAATCTTTTTTCGTTTTACTTGTTCGTTGTCCTTTGCTCATAATTTCCTTTCTCGTTGACGGTTGTTATTTATATTCATTGTGTGTATGTGTTGACATCTTGTTCGTTATCGTAATCACATAATTTTGTTTACATCTTGTTCAGGATACATTTATTCCATTACTCTTTGTGTATCTCTGTGTTTTAATTCATGTCCTCAGCACTCTCAGTTGTTGTTAACATATCTAAAGCAGTTATCTTCATTAGTTATTTTCATCATACTTTTCAATTTAGTAAAAACGCACGTACTCAATATAATTTGATTGTAAAACAGACAAAACAGCTGGGTTGATTTAATATGTAAACATGAAAAACAATCCTCTATTCATACACACATGCATCCTCGCATACTTATCCTTAATAATGATAATAGTAATAATAATAATACTAGTTATTATTATTATTATTGTCATTGTTATTATCATCATACTATCTTCCCATCGACATTGTATCTGCACACGTATATATATATATATATATATATATATGCATATCAGTTTATATTTCATCCGTTTCATCTTCATTTTGAACAGTTATAAAATCTTACGTTACAAGCATTTTCTGCCAAAAAGTTCTGCCTTTTTTGTTAGTCTACGTTAAGCTAAAAGCATGCAAACATACAATAAATTAGACTAATTGTCATTGGAAACAGAAAAAGGCAAACATGGTCACTTATCCTAATTGTTTTCTTCGTGTTGATTGTTTCTATTGTGTGTTTGCGTATCAGCACATTAACGCACATAATCTTCTTTTTTATATTTATCAGTGTATCCAGGGTTTTTTTTGGGGGGGGGGAAGACAACATATCACCCCTCATCCTCTGTATGTATATTCGTATAGTTCATATCTCTATGCTTTAAATCGGTTGTAAATGTAATTTTCATCGTCGTCGTCATTGTTATTATTATTACCATTATTCTTATCGCTATTTTTAGCCTATATTACTTGCATTTGCTCAGCAAACTGTTATTACAAAAATTACTACTTTTTTTTTTAGAAAAATCGTTACATTGCTTCGTTTTGTTTTTCTTCCAAAAGAAAAAAAACAGTCAATGGTTTTCATTTCGATATGATGTGATGCTTCTCTGTCTCCCTTTTTCTTTTAACTTTTATGAATAAATAGGAGAATAAATGACTTCTTGGTCAGCAAAATAATTTCCAGTGAATAAAATAGTTCAACTTCCCTTTTTTGTTCTTTTCTCCATATTTTTTGTTGCAAATTTTTTATAGTTTTTTCTCTGTCTCATGTTTCTCTAAAGAGAAAGGTGTAAGCAGTATTAGACGTGATAATTCTTACATTTCAGCATTGAAACACTAATAGTTGCTTGTTTTAATGATTATTATCATTGAACATGCAGATACTGCTAGATAGAAAATGTGTTGTACTGAATCAATTTGTTTTGTCCATTTTAACACAATGATTTAGATGTAAATCAATCTCTGTAAATGCAAAGTGGTATATTAAGATAAATTGTGTACAACAATTAACTCATGATAGGTGTTGAAAGTTGAGAATTAGATGAAAGTATTAATAAAGCCATTCCAAAGGTATCATTTTTCTTTATTTGCATGAATACACAGAGCCTTTGAATAAAAAATACTGACGTGTTAGAAGTTAGAAAATGTTAATACAAGGAAGATATATGACTATTTGTTCAGATTTTCTTAAAAAAGATAGGTTTATACAAAAACAAGTTATAATTACAAAGGTTTGTACTAAATATATTGCACGACTTGTGCTTTATAACAAATTTACTGAGAAAGTACTGTCAGATGACTTTATATTTTTGAGTCATGTCTTCGGTTTGGAATAATACGAGACATATATCAAGTTGTGTTAAGGCGTATCTAGACACATTTTCCACTGTAATATGTGACAATTACAACTCATGTAAGGATTCAGAACAGGGTTTTCTAACCGAAGGAAATATTTTTCAGAAATGTTAGATCCTCTGAGCTGGATGATGAAATTGCGGAGCTCCCATTGTCATCCTGGACAACATGATCAGTACTCACCATATAATTAGGTTTCTTATTTTTTCCATAAGTCATGATTTTTTTTGGTCTTGTGATTACTTGTCGTTGTAGGTTTTATCATCTTGGTGTTCAGATCGATCAGTCCATTCCAAAAAAGTAAATCGACATATATCCAGAGTTTAACGGAGCAAGGAAGTTAATTTAAATACAAGGGCAAACGATAAAACTGATTGCTAATCACAAAGAAAGCCAACAGAGCAAACTAATTTAAAGCTCGCGGAATAACTAAGAAGCCCATTTACACATGAAGTAAAGGCTGATCTCGTTGTCCAGACTAACAATAAAAACTTCAGAAATCAATCTAGTTCCGAATATCTAATAATATCCAAGTATTCACTCAATCTGCGAATCTTCATCATTTGAATGAACTATTGATAGTATGCTGACTTCCTGACACAAATGTTTACTGTGTAGTGTAAAAATGAAATGTCTGTTTTCATTTCAAATTATTATTGTTGGAAATAATTCTCATTAAATAGACTTGATATGCAGATAGATGGTTTCTCCTGTCTTTTATTGTATCAGAATTGTTCCTAAAATGTCAGCAGTTTCATCGATGTGTTTATCAGTAACTACATCATATCAAAATGTATTTATTATTCCCATGCGAATATTCAGAATAATATATTTTATCAAGGGCTATGGGATGTAGTTAGAGTATTCCCATGATGACTGCTAGTTTCTGATTAAATGCATTCATTTTTAAATCTTATGGACGAAGAAAATTTCCCTAATCCCCACGTTTCACAATTTTGTTGCTTCAAGATCTTTCCTGAATGCACAATTCATCTACTGAACTACATTTAAAAGATAAATTTGATACTTTGCAACTTGTTAGTGGCGTTTCAGATTATTTGTGTTTATACATTAGTTATAGTTTGCAAAACTTATTTGGCTAAGTCATTTATGTTGAAGGACATGCAGAATAATGTGGAGTTGACAAAATATTTTAACAGGTCATCGTTCGTTTGTTCATTACGCCTGTTACTCCACGTGGAGGAGTATAGGTCGCTCACCAGCATTCTCCATCCAACTCTGTCATGAGCAATCCTTCTCATATTTGCTTCCGATTCCCGACGCAGTGTTTTTTTTTGCCGTCCACTTTTCCGTTTATTGAGTTGCCAGTCACGCACATAACTCTTGAAGCGTAGCCACTTATGTTTTCTACACCATTCGCGAATATACTACTGAAACGGTCGGCCATGGTTTTAGAGTCGTATATAAAAGTGCTATTATGCTGGATGCACGGTATATCAACATTTCGAGTTGCTTTAGTGCGTTTATTGAAAAGGAGAGTTTGTAACAGCTTAGGTTGGTTGGTTAAGAGTCGACCCCAAACAACCAAGCATATGCCAAAACAGTATTGTTCAAGTATTCATTCACTTCCTTATTTTTTATAAGCGTTATATTCCCTATTATCTTATATTGAATGTTGAGAGCCTTTGTTTGTCTGAACAGATAATCCCACGCTCCACTGTGACTGCGCAAAGATCGAAATAAAGACCTATTCACTACTTGTCTGGTTTCTTCTGTCAATAGCACGAGGGTTACCTAAGGCACGAAAGTGGTGAGCCCTTTTTGAACACAAATTTAACCTCATTTCTGTTATTAACATTTTTTTTACTTAATCGTAAAAGTAGACCTGATTATCCGTAAACTAATTTGAGTATATAACTAGTTTATTCCGTATTATCTTAAGTTATTCGTGTTATAGTAACCATTTTTCGTGCTAACTTTATTGCTATATTTGTCACATACCTCATGTCAGACTCAATAGAAACCCATAATCTGGAGGATTTGTCACCAGTGGAGATAGACACTGTTATGACTACGAAATCCCGACTTCCAGAATTTGATCGTAGTGATCCTGAGTTGTGGTTTGCTCAACTAGAGCATTATTTCACGAGACACAATATCAAATCTGAAGGGATTCGCTATAGAGACTTGTGTTCTATCCTTCCTCCTTCAGTCGCCAAAGAAGTCCGTGACTTGATTTTAAGTCCACCATCACCACAACCATACACCATCTTAAGACGAGAGATAATGAACCGTTTATCATTATCAGATAGTCAAAGAATCCAAAGACTTTTTCAAGGTGAAACACTAGGTGATCGGTCGCCGTCACAGTTTTTACGTCACCTCCAAGTCTTAGTGGGTGATAACACAGTGGGTGAAGCAGTCCTAAAACAAGGATGGATACAAGCTCTCCCATGCTACGTCCAACACTGTTTGGATGCACAAGATCCTGAAACCTCATTATCTCATTTAGCGCGTATAGCCGACAGAATAATGGAAAGAGGTCCTCCAACTGGATCAGGCACAATAAATCACACACAAAAAGTAGAATCAGCAAAAGACCCCGTAATAGAAGGACTCATTGCGAGTGTTAAGAGTCTCACTGAGGCTGTCACCAGAATGCAAATGGGTCATAGAAACAGGAGCAGGTCACCACAACGACCACGATCCAAGTCACAAAACAGGTCACAAATGTCCAGACAATCTGGGCAGTTTTGTTGGTACCACTGGAAGTTTGGTGTCAACTCAACCAAGTGCATGCAACCATGCGCCTGGCCTAAGCATAATTCTAAGACAGCGGGAAACGAGTAACCCCTCCCCAGGTCGCGACGACTGAGGAGGGGCGCCTAAACAGTCGCTTGTTTTATGTTAGAGACAGAAACTCTGGCTTGAATTTCTTGGTGGATACTGGCGCTGCTCTTAGCATCATCCCTCAAAATAAAACTGAGATTAGTCGAGAAACATCATCAATTACACTTCAAGCTGCAAATAAAACTAAAATCGCGACATTTGGGCAGAAAACTTTAACCCTAGATTTGGGGTTCAGGAGGCAATTCCCTTGGGTTTTCACGGTAGCCGACTTAGATCTGGCAATACTGGGGATGGACTTTCTAGAGAGAT